AATAAAGATAACAAATAAAAAAGCTCAATCGCTTAAGCTCGTATATAAAAGTGCGCGTTTATATAACTCAAGCAAATTAAAGAATTACAAAATTAATCACAACAATGTACTTTTTTTTTTTACTTGTTATAATGAAACCTAGAATATGTAATACGTTTTTCATATAACAATCATTAAACTTACTTATACACAATACTTAGGCTGTATTAATTGGATTCACCCACTCGTAGACGCAAATAGTTGTTAATACTGAACGGTAAAATGCCAAATCTATTACAAAAAAAGTGGCGCTATAATCAACAAAGACAAATGGTGGTCTTGACATCAGATTTTTGTATAGCAAGTAGATATTCTGTAGGAGTAATAAAAAAACATTTGTGCAAGCGTTCTTCTGAAAGTGACAAATGGGACTATGGGATGTGTGAGTATCCACACATTCGTCTCTAGATAAAATATCGCGTACAGAGGGTACGCGATATTTTATTTTAGATAACAGATTATTGGATATTAAACTTATTCGTAAATATCTTAAAAAAAGTTAATTAAAAGATACCTTAACCCAGTGATGGGCAAAGTACGGCCCAATCAAAGTATTTTATTCGGCCCGCCGAGGATCCATCGACATGGGATATAGCGCGTTGTAATTACGTTTTTGACGGCTCAGAAGAAAAAGTAGATTTTACTTGGCATTTTTTAAAAATATTATGACATTAAGCCCTCCTCTAGAATTTCTTAAACTTTGTAGCCCGCCATTAAAAAAGTTGGCCCACCACTGCCTTAACCACTTAATCAAAAAAATATATTATTTAATGTTTAAAATTTACGATTGGCGGTACCTACGAATGAAACCACTTATAAATTCATCAACTTAACACTAATTTTAAAAATTTTAAAGAAATGCTCAACAAAATGTAACCTGACAATTGGAATACCGGTTATATAAGAATATAGATATAAACTAATTTATATAAAAGATCACTTACCAATTCGCATATGAACGGCGCAATAAGATGCAATGGCGATCAATGCAGTGACCTAGTTCCCGGTCAAACCCCGCGCGTCTTCACCCGGACCTCTCCTCCTGTTCTACAGGTGAGGTAGGTTATGGCTACATTAATAAAACTATATTAAAGTATATAGTATACCATTAATATGCGACTCTGGTCCTATGCCTATAATTGAACTTCAGTGGCGTCCTTTTTGTTGGAGTTTGAATATGTAAATAATGGCAGGCAACACTTATCCCATGTGAAGAAAATTTTTTAGTTTCGAATATTAGAATGCCTGTTTAAATCTTTATATATATATAATTTTTCTGTAAGTGGTGAGTGTGTATGTCACTGAACTTCTCTCAAACGACTGGACCGATTTTGATGAAATTTTTTGTGTGTGTTCAAGGGGATCTGGGAATGGTTTAGATTCACAAATCAGCCCGGCAGATGGCACTGCAGTCGGTACTTTCATACTTTGCTTAATATCCTAATCGCTTTAAATATCATGCAGGACAACGTGTGTGGGGTCCACTAGTTTTATATAAAACTAGCTGACCCGGCAAATCGTTTTGCCATGTATATTATTTCTTGGAAACATATTTTTTTTAGTTCAATAAAAATAACTTTCTACTATAATAAAAAATAAGGGTTGATGGTAGAGGGGTGACAATTAGGGGTTGTATGTATTTTTGTATGCTGTATCATAAAAAAATAAAAAATGTTGTATAAAATTAAAAAAACTTTTTTTGCGTTTGAAAGATAGATAGTAGCCGATTCTCAGAATTGCTGAATATGCATAAAAAATTTCATAAGAATCGGTCGAGCCGTTTTGGAGGAGTATGGTAACTAACATTGTGACACGATAATTTTATATATAAGACTAGCTGCCGCCGCGAACTTCGTTTCTCCTTAATGTGATTTTACTTAGCCGTCCTTTTTAGTGTGTACATACCAACTTGGAACATTTTGCTATGCCCAGTCTGTTCGATTTTCTGACAACTTTTTATTTCTGTGTATTTTTCTCTATATATAAACCTCAGAGTGCAGGTAATAAGATTTTAATTAACAAATAAAAAATAGGGGTTGATCATAGAGGGGTGAAAATTAGGGGTGGTGTGTATTTTTGTATACTGTATCATAAAAAAAAATATAAAAAAAATGGCCAAATAATAAAATAAAATGTTAGGGCTGGACAACCCTTATCACTTAGGGGTATTAAATATAGAAAGTAGCCGATTCTCAGACCTACTAAATGTGCATATAACATTTGATAAAAATCGGTCAAGCCGTTTCGGTGGAGTATGGTAACTAACATTAACTAACTAACATTTGACACGAGAATTTTATATACAAGATGATTGTTTTCTGTTTCGTAAGTGTTTTTAAAATAGTCCCCTCAAAATTGGAAACGACCAACACTTTATATGTACTGTATATAGGCTCGACATGTACTACGTAATATACATCATGTAATACTTTTGCCGGCAACGCACTCGCGAGCCCTCTGGCATTGAGAATGTCCATGGGCGGCGGTATCACTTAACATCAGAGGAGCCTACTGCCCGTTTTGTTCTATAAAAAAAATAGGTGCATTACTATACACTTCTATAAGAAAATAAATATTATTGTTATTTATGCTTAAGACCTAATAATAATACTTAATATAAAAAGCTATTCTTAATTCAAATTTATATGATTGGAAAAGTTTATAAGTAGGAATCAAAACATTCTTTAATATTTAATCGAAACGCTGGGTACCAATATATTTTATTATTCCTCGCGATCAATCTGTCATGTCCTGTGGAATGTGAACTATATATAGATATATATATATATAGAAGGTTGATCACTTTATTGTCTTTGAAAAGAAAATATAATAAATACAGAAAACCAAGGCCACTATCCATAGACTAGAATCTTTGTAGAGTGACAATAGTAAACATAATTGAAAGAGAAACGTTTACGAAAGTTTAATAAAATTAGATAAAACGCGAGTTTATAAATACAGGTAATTAAAAAACAGATTGTTAATATGTTTTTATTTCTTCCACCAAATTAAATACATATATTACTTAATAATTAATTATAAGAGATACTTTTAAATGAGTACGCGATACTTGCCGTATTCTTATATTGTTTGATAACTAAGAAACAGCATTCTTCTTACATTGAGTATGGGCATTTTAAGTTAGGTATCACGCAAAAATATATTATTTTATAAATATCCTAGAATATTTCGTTAATAATAAAAAAACCTACATCAGTAATTATGTACAATAAATAGTCGTATAAGTTACTGGCGAAGAAATAACCATAATAATTTATTTTGGCGCCTTTTGACGTTATGGCGGCCATCTCAACATCATGAAAGTTTATCGGCCATTTTAAATTTTTTGTTATGTTGGCAACTTTTTTTTAAATAGATTCAATAAGTTACAGCTGCATTTGGGAAATATCAATTAAATCAACCGGCCCAATGCAATGTAATTTATACTATATTATTTATTTACACTTTACGTTAAACCTTAGCGTTAAAAGTAGGTACATAAGTTGTTAGGCAACGGGCGGCCTTATCCCTAACAAGCGATTTCTTCCAGGCTTTCAAGAATTAGATTGTCAAAGGAACGCAAATCAAAACTACCGCCAGAGAGGAACATAATTTTTTGCTTTAAGTAACTAGGATTAAAAGGAACATTATAGGGATGTTGTAAAATGTGCATCTTGCGCCGCAATCAAATTGCGAATTTGGTCTAAAGGTCTAGATACCAGGCCATAAACTCCAAAAAAAAAAATTGCGAATTCTTCGGAACTCCGAATAGTCAAATTTAGGAAGTCCAATTATGAATGTGATAAATACATTTTGTGCTCCAACTTATCAACCTGGTGTTCGGTTATATCTGGATAACACACATCAGCGTAATCGAGAATTGATATATTATTTATGATAAGAGTAAATAATCGTCATAAATGAGATATCATCTTATAATCAATAAATGACCTGGCACTTGGAACAGTTTATCATATCAGTATGAGTCATAAAGATTGGAAATAGTTTTGATAAGAAATTACATAATTTCCTTTTATAGATAGGTGTATACTGGATTAGATTTAGGCCGCATAGAAACCTTAAGTAACTTATATACAACATTAAATCTACATAAATAAATTCTCATTATACTATGTGCGCTGTACCATTGTGCGGGTGACAGTTGCTTAATTTTTCTTTCAAATGAATTTTATTTGTAGACTAGAACATTCTGGCTGGGTTAAATTTAAGTTACTACTGTTATTAATGATTTAATATATTACGAATGTGGTACAGCTGAATCTGGTACTTTGTAAATCGCGGCAACTTTCAAGAGTGAAACGAAACGTTACTAAAACTGTCACCCGCACCATGCTACAGCGCACAATCGCCCATACTATAGTCTGTCCTACCAAATAATGAATTTCTTCACTATTCCTTCCTTTCATCACTTGGGGTTTAAAGAAACGTTATTTTTCTCTATTTATTATGATTGTTTTAGATTTTTTGATTATTATATTTTGTATATATACTCCCAGGAACCGGATACATTTTAACCAACTTCAAAAAATACGAAGGTCGAAAAATATAGTATCGAGATTGCATGACCCGTTTTTTAAAAGGGATCCATCCCTTTATAATTATATTATTATATATCCCATATTTGTTGATATAATTATAGAAAGGTTCTAAGTACTACACATCCATATCATTTAAAAATAATAAAACCATTAACAAACACTGTCAATTTAAAAAAAAAAAAAAAAGTATAAAAACTTTGCCAAAAGCAGCTGATAGGTCAAATGTGACCTTTACGAGGTCAATGACCCAAAGAATACCCTCTATTTTGTTAAAAATATATTTCCTTTATTACAGATCTATCACTAAATAATAAAAGTACGCATTTATATATATATTTAATACAACATTTACTACAAAACCGTCTAAATCTTTCGCGGTTTCGTGGTGTGTTTGATAACCAGCTAATAACGATGTCTGCTGGGATATATATTTGGGTTTTGTACGTTTGGATTTGACTGCTGAACGGGATAACCTTGAGTGATGCTGCCAGGTTTTGCCTGCAAAATAACGTTATAAATAAACTCATAAAAAATATCCATAATTCACAAATAAGCTATTGCATAGATTTTGTCGCGGGCGCGGCGACTGAATCAAGAAATTCCGTAACGAAATAAACCTAACACACGATGACGTAATATAGGTGCGGCCAATACGCGTTAGAGCGGGACAGAACGCACTGCGTCTCACATCGGTTTAGAGTGATCGCATAGGCGTATTAGTCTGAGTCTGGTAGAGTGGTAAATTGAACTAATATCAAAGAAAAAACTTGAATTAATATTAAAGAAAAAAAAATGCTGCAAAACTTAAATAAATAAATATATTGCATATGTTTATAAAAAATGCTATGCAATAGTTTTACCGCGGCAGTCCCCGAGTGCCACACGTATTTTTTTTCGTAGAGTGATATTATTTATTAGTCGGTAGGTATATTATCGTTGAGTGTTTGTGCGTATTGTGAACTATCAGTTGCACCTCTCTTATTATACATATTATTTTAAGATAAAATTGTGTAACGATTAAGCACTGAACCGCTTTTTATGGTACCTATATAATAATAAACTGGCAGTGTTGACCTAGTGGCTTCAGCGTGCGACTCTCATCCCTGAGGTCGTAGGTTCGATCCCCAGCTGTGCACCAACGGACTTTCTTTATAAGTGCGCATTTAACATTCGCTAGGACGTTGAAGGAAAACATCGTGAGGAAACCGGCTTGCCTTAGACCAAAAAAGTCGACGGCGTGTGTCAGGCATAGGAGGCTGATGACCTACTTGCCTATTAGATTGAGAAATGATCACGAAACAGATACATAAATCTGAGGCCTAGACCTAAAAATATTGTAGCGTCATTGATCTTTTTTTATAATAATAAAACTAGTAAATATTCAGTAGCACCAGTTTTAAATTTAACAGATACAATCTACGCAGTATTATATACTTTAAATCTATGTTCAGTAAAGGGAAATTGATGTCTTTTGTTTGAAAAATCGAGGATATTAATAAAATTAAATCACCTGTATTGTGTTGTGTTGCGGTGGATGTATGGCCAGATGACGGGACACGGGCGGTTGCGCATAAACTACTCCGCTACTAACTGCCGGGTGGTGGGCTTCACTTAACCCTATTAATACTTGTGGAGCCTAAAAATATAATGGTATCGTTATTCCCAGAACCTGAGACAGCACTGCTTTATATAAAGGAAGTATTGACTGACTCAAAACTTGGCGATTAAAAAGAGTGGCGGATAGTTTCGTGCCAATTACAAGAACCATATCTCATATTAGGGAGCGTTCAAGTATTACGTCACGCAATATTTGGAGATTATTGACCCCCCATGTAACGCGCCGTAACGTTATCCTGTACCCAAGTATAGTAAAAGTAACGTTTTACAAAAGGACACCCCCACCCCCCCAAATTCGTTACGTAATACTTGAACGCTCCCTTATACAAATAAGGCGAAAATTGATGTTACGCTGGTAGGGTAAAATTAAGAAGCTATCCTTACCGCTGCAGAACAGGGTTGGCTTGAGCTTGACAACAAAGTCTTCAAAATGTGCGCAATTAACACACACTCAAGGATGGAAAAGAGGAAAGAAGGAAATTGAACTTTGACCTAACAATCGTGTGTCAGGCATAGAAGGCTGATCACCTTTTTTATATAACAGGGTGTAGACTTATACCGCCGCCTATAGACAGTCACATTGGCAGAGGGCTCGCGTTGCCGGCCTTTTAATAATTGTTACGCTCTTTTCTGGAAGGACCCTAAGTCGAATTAGTTCGGAAATGCATCGGATGACAGTTCACCTACTTGCATATTAAGAAAAAACTTATCACGAAACAAAAGAGAAGGCGTGTTTGTAATGTAACTGACTTTAATTTAAAAGATAGAAATTTTTATGTACCTATTTATACATTGGTAATACTTGTAATCACATGGGCGAGGCCAGCTGTATTAAAATTATTTGCCCCGCAAACAATTCCATACAAAAAAAACTTGGTTAACCAATTTTCATTGTGAACTTATCAAAAACAGTATTTTTTGTAACTTCTCTTAGCAGCCGCTTCTCTTAGGTTAAAATTCAAAGACCATAGCGCGAACCATAATGCTCACATTTTATAGATTTCGGTATCTGATATTTCGTAATATTTTCTATCTTAATAGGCAAGTAAAACAAAATTTTACAGATGACACAAAACAGTAGGTGACCAGCCTTCTGTGACTAACACTCTCTGACGATTTCTAGGTCGGAGGTTGCTTCAAGTGTTTTCCATCCTTGAGTCATTGCCCACGTTTGTAACAAGTTCTCTGGATTGATAGGCACATACTCTGTTCTTCAGTCGCCTATACGTTTTAACCTTAATTTTCTAATCATCACTACTTAGGAAAAGCCTACCTGCTGATCCTTCTTGGGCTCCGGATGTTGCTGCCCCTCCCTATTCTTCAGCATATCCATATATAGCTGCGACTGGGGCGCCGGCGCATACATCAAGTTCGAATGATGTGGGGTATGGGGCGTGTGCGGAGTGTGGGGAGTATGCGCATGATGAGCATACAGCAGAGGCGGTGGACGCTCAGTGACCACACCCACAACGCTTGTCGGCATCGCGTAGTACCCCCCAGAGGAAACACCGGAACCACTGACGTTTGACGCATATTGAGATGTTTCTATAAACCAAGTGTTATATGCTTATACACGTAGATGACACGTAGAGTAAAGACACTTGTTGACTATTTTGAAATTAGAACAACCTATTACAGAGGAAATTAATAGATTTACGAAATATATCATTATGACAACTGGTTTTTAATAAGCTTGAAGAGCAGGACACACAATTAATACAAACACACACCATACAATCAGCCAATAAACTAAGTTTTATATGTTATGAGTCATCGGCAAGTCATCGTGACCAACAAATTCGTTATGTACAAGTCACCATGATTTGCATTTAAAAAAATTTTATCAATATCTACAAAACGACAGTTATCTTAAATCGAATAAGACAACATGTCAGAGGAATATCATATCTAGAATTACGTGTAAATAGCGTTAAAAACAAACAAGTGAAAAACATTTTTTTGAAATTTAATTGTACTGTCTCTTTTCATCACAGCGTAATTATAATTTCAGAGAAAGCGACGAAAGTTATTTTAGTTAAAAAGTAGACTAATTTAGTAATAAAATGCTTGTCAAATTTAAATATATCAGTATTTGTTTATATAACAGGAGGCAAACGGACAGGAGCTTCATCTGATGTTAAGTAATACCGCCGCCCATGCACACTCAATGCCAGAGCGCTCGCGAGTGCGTTGCCGGCCTTTTAAGAATTGTTACAACTGGCGCACTGGTCTTGGTTAGCACTAAGAGTTTTTAACGAATTATAAAGTTAAAACAGTTATAAGACTGATTTATACACAATGTTTTATCACGCACTGCTCATGAGTGTAAGGGAGCGTTCAAGAATTACGTAACGAATTTTTTGGGTTCCCTTTTGTAAAACGTTACGATGCGGGGCGGGGATTGAATTACGCGTTATTGTTACTATTATTTTCGATATTCCAGTACTTTACACCACATAATGGTAATTTTTAGGTATAAAGAGTCACTGGGAGGTCACCAAACGTTTTACTATTGGGGACAGAAAAACGTTACAGCGCGTTACTTGGGGGGGGCAATCTCCAAAAATTGCGTGACGCAATACTTGAACGCTGCCTAACTTGATAGAATAGTTAATTAAAATTTTATTTTAGTTTGGTTAAATGAAGGCACAACACAATGATTTAATGTTAGTATATTATTGATAATAAATGTTAAGTTACCAATAACCAAATTAGTATAAAACAACTTCAATCGATCGACTTAAAACCACTATTAAAATATTTTTATTTAGGACAGGACAACGTTTTGGTTGAGAGACATTAAAAACTGGCTAGAAAATAATGAACGAAATGTCTATAATATATATAATCTACCATTAAGTAATATGTTTGAATCTTTTTTCGTCTAAGAAATTACCTACACTTTTTTAGAATACCTGCACTTTTGTAAAAATTATTGTGCATATTGTCAGCAACTTTTATGTTATTTGCTATATAACTCCATAACTACCACTAAGCGAATGTAATTATTTGAGATAATAAATCTTTAAAGAGTTTTTCCATGGCAATGAAATGTTTCAATATTAGGTCTAAAGTCCTACAAGAAGTTAAACACAAAAAGAAACCAAGAAAACACACCAATTAAAAACTAGCGAAGGGTCGATATTGTATAGGATTCAAGTCAAGAAAACCTCGAGGCATATTAGATTTTAAGTACTACAAACGAAGGGTTACAAGTTACTACAGGAAAAGTAAGTAAAAAATAACGAAAATTATGAAAATTCGTGCACAAGCGTAATATGACACCTAGTGACAACTCACTGTTCCACAAAACCGCTCGAGCCATTTGGCGGCCCATTCGACCATCCTCAACTTCTGCAAAAGATTTTTTAAACATTTATACCTATTAATAGATCACCCGGTGAACTTCGTATCACCCACATAATATGTATATATTTTTTTATATATAGGGGGCAAACGGGCAGGAGGCTCACCTGATGTTAAGTGATACCGCCGCCCATGGACACTCTCAATGCCAGAGGGCTCACGAGTGCGTTGCCGGCCTTTTAAGAACTGGTACGCTCTTTTCTTGAAGGACCCTAAGTCGAATTGGTTCGGAAATACTTCAGTGGGCAGCTGGTTCCACAAAGTGGTGGTGCGTGGCAACTGAGCGTTTTTCAAGGCAGTGTATTAAGTATCAAACATAATTAAGTATATACTTAATTATGTTTGATACTTAATACAAAATTTTACACAAAAACAGACTACTACAGCTATGAAACAGTGAAATTTCTGGACACCTTATGAACTAGACAACCAAGTGACTATTATTATATATATTATATTATATATACTACATATTATTATATTTATTTCTAAAAACACATCAAATGTTTCACAGCTACGAACAGTTTGAAAAGAAATTATATCGTCGTTTTTAGATTTTTTCGGTAATACGGTATTTTTCTTCTTTCAAACCGAAATACTTCTATTCACTTCGCTATGATCACGCAGCGAAATAAAATGAATATTAATTTACTTTAAATTATATTTATTGTTGTCAAGAGATTTTGCAAAGCAAACGATGTATAAATAAACACAGTTTTTGGCGTGAATGTCTGCTGAAATCGCAGTAATTCTGTAATAATTCAATTATGATGCAAAGATTTCAACACAAGCTATAAACATCATTTCATCATTGATATCCTTAATGTGACCGAACTCAGTAACTAAGAATATTACATAGTATACCGAGATACTATAGACTAAATACCATACAATCTAATCAACTTGATAACAGACTTCCAGTCTGTTGAAAACAAGCTTATTAAAATCAATTTAAATGCTGAGCAAAACAAATTCGCAGTTTAATTTTCCACTGAATTTACTTACTATGATCGGAGTATACATTGTGCTGTTTCATAGCGGGCTGGTGTAACCGATGGGCATATAAGGCGTATGTAGGTGAGGGGGACCTCTGCCGCTTGACACCAGACTGTATGGGACCACGTACAATAGTTTGCTGTTGTGGAAACAATTTGTACTTTGAGTACGATTTCTTGAACAAAGAGAAACAACCTTTGAACTCCGTGTTTGTAACTACCACAACACCGAGAAAGGGAAACGAGCTTTCAGAATTGGTATGACTGGTTTTCAGTTAAAAAAATCTCTATAAATACAAGATCAATTGAGACAATAATATATTTCATCCGGCTCGAAGGACCAATGTACAGCTTGCTAGCCAGTGGAGTGTAAAAATGTATATTTAAATATATACGTGTGTCAGAGTGTTAAGAGTATCTGTGCAGTAAGCGAAGTGTTTGTTAGCTGCGCTAGATGAGTAAATATTTGAGAGGCTGTGAACTAAGAACCTAACAACGCGGTATTCATTCCCAAGATATAAAATCGGCAGAATTTTCGTAATTCCATCTGCAAATCCAATCTAGTAGTTCAAGCACCTCTCCTTCGAATTATTCGCGATCATAACGGATTAAACAGTACTTATCCGGAGCTGGATATATTCGGTAGTGGACTGATCAATTAAAAAAAAATTTGCTGTTTTTTTTTCTGCTTCACAAAATTGCTTGTATTTTCTTTAGTATATATTTTTATTGCACTTTTTTTTAAATTTGTTGTAACATTTATATTTATCAAAATTGTCCTATATTTTAGATAAAAGAGCTTGTAACATATACCGTAGATATAGTATTATGCATGATGTTATAAACTTGAGTAAATAAATAAATCCGGATCACTTAGCCGTACAGTTTTACCCTAGTTAAGTAGTGGATAACGCGATGTGTGCACCAAAAGCTTCCTAATCCTTAGTCGACAATATTTTATGGAATGTATTAAATAACGTGATCGGATACAAAAATAAAAAAATAATTATCGAACACGAATCTATACTGTGATTATAAGTACTTGTGTAATGTGTAGGTACTTATTAAGTCCTTGGTTTTATCAACTTAGATTATATTATATAAATTGAAAACAAATTAATCACGAATGCGCAGACACACCCACCCATTAAAATAACGATTAGTAGCGTCGAGAAACGCAAGCAAAAAAAAAAGAAAAATTTCTAAATTTGTGGGACATAATAAAGCGTCTTCGGTGTGTTACCTGCAAATCTGTGTAATTTAGTTTTTTTTTTTAATTTACCTTAATTTTGTTTATTAAGGTTTCTATACTATTTCATAGTAATCTAAGCCGTCATTAATATGACGGCTTGTAACGATTAAAAATAGCTAGATTTAGCATAGCATTGATCTCTTTGATTATTTCTTTTTCATTCATGGTGTAATTTAACAAAATTTGGTGACCATTCATTCCAATTCCGTTGTTGCATTCTTAACATAGACAAACAATTATAAGGTTCATAGTAAAATAAAAACAATAAAAGCAGTTGAACATCAAAACAATATAAATTTTATACCTTTAACTCCGTCAGACACAAAAATGTTGAACTGTAAACTTATTAAACAATATATAGATTTTTATATTATTAATTTCAAATTTGGAATTAATTTGTTCGCTTAAACTAGTAAATGTTTAAATATGGTCATTCAAATATGAACTACAGAAAAGGTTATATTTTCAAAATTTTCAATATTGTATAATTAACTGGGCCCATTTAATCTATTTCCTGCAATTGCTTATGGCAAGACCTCAATATAAGAATATAAGAAAGAAACGTAAAATACCTTATTAAGCATGTGAGAATTAAGATGAGGTGGTCGGCCTTGAGGTGGTGGCTCCCCTTGACCCTGGGATGGCATCGGAAACATTGGCATTTGTATATTACCCATTGGCATTTTCATTGGTTGCATTTCACTGGAAAAGTACATAAATAGATTTTCTAATATAACATTACTTTTATAATGCAATATGAGAGTATATTTAAGCTTGTCTATATATGTAATATTTTATTTTACATTTCTATCATGAATTAATAATTATTGTTTTTCATCTAAAGATTATAAAGTAATAAAGGCTATATAAGTGGAGTGAGATTAAAACTATCATAAACATAAAATATCCATATGAGATATTACATACAGAAAATATAAAACATGGAAAAATCTTTAAATATTAATAATGTTATAGAAAAGACATAACTTTACATCCCCTTTACTCACTTTGCTTCCTTTTGTTGTTGTCTCTTTCTAACCTCATCCTCATTCAGTACTCGCTTCAACTGCATAAACAGTTGTTGTTTCTCTTTTTCTAATTGTTTTAACTTTTGTTCAAGTTGTTCGATTTGCTCCTTTGTTTCCTCTGAAAATCAAAAACGCATTGATTTGGCTTCACATTTTTTTTAAGCAAAGTTTTTAAAAATCATACCAAGGAATCGATTTCATAAGCCAAATCAAATATAAACTGAATAGTGTCATTAAATAATCACAATTGAAAATCTCAACTATTAAAATGCTGACTGAAAAGTATGCATAAATTTTATTAAATTCAGAAGGATATCAGTTACATACTACATACCTGTATGTAGTGAAAAAATTATGTATATATAAATAAAATAAAATTTAAAAAGCTCAGGTGCAAACCTAGTACTAGTTTAATAGTTGAATAAAGCAATATTAAAGATTAGAAGTATGTTATTAGCATTTTTATAAATTCAGAGGTGGCAATTACAGCCCTACATTTAAGTTCATAAGAAGCAGCCTGTCTGACTATTACTTACCAAGTGTCATAACATCTTGTCGTTCTCTAGCTTCCCGCTCTTTTCTTAGTCTCTCCTCCTCCACCTCTGCTTCATATTCTAGTAATAGTAAAGAAATAAATGTATAATTCTACCACCATCTGCATCTTCGGAACAAAATTATGATATTTATTTCTCAAAATTAAAGTAGTTTACAGACTCATATTAAATAATAAGTTTTATTTCATATGATCAGTGAAATAAACTAGGCATCATAAGCTTAAAATAAGAACCTTCTTTTTTTCTTTGTCTCTCTCGTATAATGTAGCGTTTGAGAGCATTCCACATCTTCTGATCGCCTTCATTTTGTTCTTCAGCAGTTGTTGAAGTAACTGCTGGCATTTTCAAGGACGTAGTCTCCAGGACTGGTGTTATTTTGATTTAGTATGTAAAAATCTTATTTAATAAAACAGCACTAAAAGTTAGTGCAGGTATTTTCTCTCAAATTGGAGGATTACAACAAGCCAGCAGTATTTTTATTTTTATTGATAAGTTTATTAACAATTTACATTATTCATATTGCGAATCTACAAAATAGAAATCGCCAATCGTAAACTACCGCATAGAGTGACTACCACAGATTACTAACTATATAATTAATGTACATTAGTCTGTAGGAAAATAATGCAAATGCCACAGACTTCAATATATCAATTATATTTTATTTATCTAAACTTCGTTACATTAATATAGTGAAACCTCGTTGGCTATAAAAACCATCTAAACCATTAACTGATAATGAATATTCAAAGAAAATAGAGTCCAGCTAATTTATAATTTAATTAAAAAACTGTTTCATATTGTGCATGCATTATAAGAATAGTTTAATATAAAACTTATGATTAATTATTAATACATACAGTAAATTCAACTGACATCATAACATTAGACTATTGCACATTTTTTTTTTTAATAATTTTATGGCCAGGGGCCTTAGTCAAGATGCCTTAACAGTAGTGTATGTAGAACGTCAAAAACTAAATTTGTATGAAAACTTTTCGACACGAACTGTCATTTCCATACAAATTAAGTTTTCGACTTTCTACATACACTACTGTTAAGGCATCTTGACTAAGGCCCCTGGTAACGAGACCTTTAAGCCAAGACTATAGCACATCGATTGGACTATAGACAACAATTAACAACAACAAGCTGTCAAAATTCAAGAAGTCGAACAACTCCTGTCTCCTATAGAGAGCCTACCTAGATTATATTTTGAATTTTTTGAACTTAGTTATTCTTACATTTACTAGTACAATAATGTTAAGATCACATTAATGGAATCTAAGTCAAGGTGTCCAACTGCACAATCTCTGTGAACTGCAACCAAGTACTGAATACTTTGTTATTAAATACCTATGAAAGTAAATCATATCCAACACGATTAGTAACTTTATTAATAATTTTATCGGTCTTAAATATTTATCTTGGCAATACTTTTTAAGTAAATCATGGATGGACCTTCAAGACCAAGAAAGAAGCTGAAAGTGGTAAGTTTTTAGGTTTGTTAACATCAATGCTTATATTTTAGTAATCTTTTTTGTTTGAGTATCATGTAAAATCAGGTCATTGGTATTAAGTTGCTTACTGTTCATTTTTACGTTTGAAATCATAAATGTTTGATGTAAAATGAATAATTTACTCAAATTTCACTTGCACTTATTACAATATATCTAACATACTGTAAAAACAAGACAAGGAAAGCTTAATTTTAGAATGAATGCAAATTCTTAATGGTGTACTTAACTCAATACTGGTACAGCTTTACCTTTACATATTTTATTACTGAATGAATGGGCAGTTTTTTTATTTTATCAAAGTGAAATCATATTTTTCTACACATTTTATCATTTCTAAAGTCACTGATTATAATAGTGTAATAAATTATCAGTGATTAGATTTATCAAAGGTTTTATTTAATAATGTTCCAATATAAATTATTCATATAGCTTTTATTATGCAATTGCCAGAACATAAAGTTATTAAAATCGAAAAAACCCATATTTTTTAGTTAAATCAATAAATGTAATTCTGTGCCTTTTTATTGGCTTGATTGTCTTTAATTTCTAATAACTTAAGTAGATAATTAAGGCTTTATAGTAAGAATTCTCTAGTTCATATACAAGTATATGGTAGTTTTCATTAAAATTTTAATATGTTTTTAACATAATTAAACCGTAATAAAATTCATTTTTATGTTGATAATATACTATTAAACATTTTATATCACCCTATGAATAATATTATATTTTTTGCTTGGTATGCATTATATCGATACCTCCTAAGTATACTGAGTCAACTGACATTTTAGTAATTTTATAGGAGAGCCATTTTAAGGCAAATTGTTTATATTTTAATGAAATCAAACTAATTCGGAATAAATTAAATGTTTTTTTAATAAAGATTGAAAGCTCTTCCTTTGGTATAACATGATTTTGCTGAATTTTGTTTTTAAATGATATTTTATGTACATGACTCATTATACACGGGCGGGCCTGAATAGTAAAATGGTTTAACTACCAGTTATATTCATGTACGTTGTACATGAAAATCCATGACTTACTCGAAAATATTACGAAATATGATAATCATTTTATTAATATCATACTACTTTTGGTTATTTTCGATTTTTTTTGTCCCACTTAATAATAAAATGTTGAAATTACATCACTTGACTCATTATACTAGGAAAGTACTTACCTATGTTAGTAGTTAAAACCTCAACGTATACTGGACTAATATAATTAATCGAGGCTTTTTAATTACTCATTTTAGGTATTTCGAATACCTCACGAAATTAATAAAGGTTAGGAAGAAGTAGTCTCATTTAACAAAACAACACATTTAAAGAATCACAATGTATTTTTCGTTTATACTAAGTAGGACCCGTTTTTGTAGTTTTTGTATCCGACCCGTTTTTGTATCATGAAAGTTTCTTGAAAAGTAACAAACATCAATAAAAATAATAGAAACTAAAAATGGTAACTTACGTTAAACAATATTAATAAAAATAATAGATATGAATAATATAAATATCTAAAAATCTAGGAAATTCTAACGCTCAAAAAATTTCTATAAGGTTAAACAAAATAAATAAAAATATTAAAGGTTGAACGAATCAAAAATCAGTCTGAATCACTATCTTCTGCTCCATTAGAGTTATTTAGATAGATAGATAGATCCATCATTAGTAGTTGTCCAGTTGTTTATAAGTTTTGACTTTGATTTGAAGTCCTTTATTAAATCCTGAGACACTTCAATAACTGTGTATGTATCTAAAAGCTGTATATCATTGATCAGGCATATAAAGCTTTTTATCTTTGTCCGTCTTTCAATTAAAGCGTGCATACTGTCGCCTTCACTTTGTGAATGACCCACTATTAGAAAGCGATGGCTAATAGCTATACTACACTTTAAACTACCTAACATATACATTAAGAAATAAATCCTATTTCTATGTTGGCCTCCACAGTTGTCTGACTAAAACCGGTAATCATTGACACCTTCACCACCCGTATCTTCTATAAACTTAAAATGATAGTTGGAAATTTCAATTGCACCTCTCTTTGCTGTCTGTTGATACCATCAAAAGCAATCACCTTGGCGAGATCCCAGAATGAATATCGTGAAATTATACAAATAATGTTTCCGTTTATAATAAAAAGTACTCACGCTCTCGTGAGGTACATACATTAAGACACTTTTGAAGATCAGATGCTGATGTAAGGATTTCATTATTTTGTAACGCTGATTTTTTATCTTTTGTTTTAATTTTTCTAGCTTTCTCTTTTTTTTAAAATGCTCTTCATGCTTTTCTTTATCTGTCTGTAGAACTTGCTTGTTATTTTCATAAATGTGACATTGTTCACAAAAAATCTTTTTGGGTTTATAAAAACTATATATAGATATCTCGATATTGTCTCACGGTAGTCCATAAACCATTCGATTCATGAACAGTTTTGGGAAGGATAAAAAGCCTTCTAGATAATTTTTACTTGATTTTTGGCGAGTGTAATATGACTCTACAGGAGAAAATGCTTCAACGTGATCTATAACACTGTGAACGTCATCGGATGGATTATATGTTCATCCAAAGACCACGCTGATCTGATTTAATAAATCCATTACCTTTATCGGACTTTTCTAAAGCTGTATAAGCAAAATCAAAACTAATAGAAAGAGTTCTCAAGAACATAGTTTTGCAAACCGATATTTTTGTGGTCTCAATATTATCTCCTTCACTCCTTTTTATCGACAATATTTTTTCTCTTTTTTTCCAGCTTTTACAGCATATCTTGCCAAAAAACCCATTGTCTTGAGTGGTCCAATAATCCAAAACATTCTGTTAATTTCTCACTGCATTTTTTCCATAAGTTGAGGGGCAAGAAGTTTTCATAATTCTCGTAGCATGAACTCTTCCGTTTCTACTGACATATTCCAATCCTCTATTAAGCTTATATTTCCTCTCCTTATCCATACATTTTTTATGAAAACTCTTAGCCTTTCTTTATCTTTTTTCGCAATGGAAATGCGCTTTTGGCGTTATTGGACGATGAGTATGTGATATCATTAATGTCAGAAATTAACAGGAGATGAGTCAAAAGAATTATACGGCGATGGTACTGGAGTAATATCACAATAATTTTCTATAATGCTATTCTGGATGGGCGAATTACCTGGAGTGTTCTCTATGACTGATGGCGATCGATCTCCTTTTTGAGTTCAGTTATCAACAATCGATACCCAAGGCGAAGAGCAAAGAATAATATAATCTAGGAATAATATGTAAGCATTAGAAGGGATATTCTGCGATACTTCCTTGCTATCATTCTAATCAATATCATCAAGTATTGATAGCTCCTCTTCCATAAATTTGCAATTTTTTTTGCAATTTGCATCTTCCATAAATCTTCCATAAATTAGCAATTTGCATCCGGTGGCAATGGAGACTCTAAAACAAACAACAATTAAAAACACAAGAATTCATATTTTTATATTTAACGTGCCAATATCAAGATATAAAATTTATAACACATAAAAAAATATATTATACCACAATTAAAACAAATATATCAAAAATTTAATTAGTACATTATTATAGCCAGATAAGTCAAGTGTCTTCTTTATAAAGTTTGTTCGTTGTAAACAGGTGTAAATATAGTTGTATCAGTATACGGCGTACTAAGCGACGTGTAACAATTATCAAACAAAAATGGCAAAATCACACTATATGTAACATAAATAAAGTATATCAATGTAACTTACCATATTCAGCCCTGTTTTGCATTATATCACCGATTCCTGAGATATTGCTAATTGTATCATTAGTATTATTCACCTTATTATTGAGAAAATTAAAAAAATTTCGCGCCCTCGCCGTCATTTGTCGTATACTGAGCCATAATAAACTTGTATCAATGCGTCCCTCCTTACGCCCCGCGAACACTGATACAATGTTATTTGGATCAGTATACAATGTACGATTTTAACTGATGTTGAAATTGATTTAGTATACGTGAAATTATCTCGGTAATTATAGGTCTTTTTAAAAAAAAATAACACTAACATTAAGATCATGGTTTATTATGTACTTTTGTATAAAAAAACAAAATACCTAAATTTGTTAGATGACTCAGTATACTTAGGAGGTATGCATATGTATATAAATAATTATGATACATTTTCATAGTATCACATAAATTGCTACATAACTTATTATTAACTGCACAAAAAGCATATAATTTGAATTATTAACGCAGTTATCAACTTGCTATTTTGAATATTATTGTATATTAATAATAAAGCAACATGTAAAAATTACTTGAAATTGAAATAAGAAACAATTTTTTCTTTTATTTCTCTGCCTTAAGGCATGACCACTATGTAGTCATTGTTATATTCATGACACCAATTCTTGTCTTTGTTGAAATCATGACATTTAATTTTATAGAATTCAAAAGTTTTTATGAATTATTATTTATAACAAACCTTGTTTCATATAATTTTTACATGTATTGTGAAGTCACTTACAGACAAATATTTATTTAAATCAAGTTTAGCTATTATCCTACAACCTGACTTGATTTAAAATAATCTAATAATAAAAAAATAAATAAATTTCGACGCGTGCAAAATTATTTCGAATACCTTATCAATAAAAATTATCGATGTCTGAAAAATACTATTTAAATTACCACCATCGCAAGTGGGGGAGAGTCACAATCGAGTATCAATCAAGTTAGTATTATTTGAAACGGCGCGTGCGCTGCCGCATTTTAAAAAAGTTTAATTTTGGCGGGAATTATTTAAATTTTAAAATATTATAAAAATGAGTCTAGAACAAAGAAACCAGAAGGTGGCTGAGCATTTTGAAAAATATAACATCGGAGAATGGGGAAGCGCAACTTTAAGATCGGTGTGTATTTTTTTTATTATTTTATATTGTGAAACGAAAGTGTTGAAGTTTCGATATGTGAATGATGTTTACGATACAACTACTAGAATGAGCGACTCCACTTTCACTTTGTTTATTTCCTCAAGATTGTAGCAAACTGGATATTATTTACTTTCTTTTATGGATAGGAAATAATAAATAACGTAAGCTAATCGTTTTCTAATTTTTTTATTAATTTATTTGAAAAACATCTCGCATTCGAATTTTGTGCATATTATCTTCCTTAAATAACGCAATTAGTGTTGTTAGTAAATTATTCTCCATATATATATATATATATTTTTTAAATTAATTAAAATTTATAATAATATAGCCTTCATATTCTGAAACTCTGTGATCTGTGATCATTAATATATTTTCACCGCAGTATATTTCGGAGTTCGGTGTGCCTCTTGCCAAAGGCCTCCTCTAACCCTTTCCACTGTTCTCTATTCTTGCGACTCTTCTCCAGATGTAGCCTGCCGTTAATTTGAGTTCGTCCTGCTATATTTTGTGTTGTCGATCTCTTCTTCGTTTTCCGTCTCTAGGGTAGCATTCCGTCAATATTTTGGGCATTCCATCCATTTCATCCCTTTTTCATGGGGGCATTTGACCCGTCCAACTCCGTTTCATTTGGTCTATAGTGAGAATGTCTGTCACACCTGTTCTAGCTCTTATAACTGTTTCTTTGCTTGTCTAATTTTCTTATTCTCAGCATGCTTCTTTCCATGGCTTTTTGGCAGTGTGCTAGCATGTCCCTGTGCTGGTTTGAGAGTGCCTAAGTTTCGCAGCCATATCTTTAATTTATAAATACCTAAATTTTTCGGGCTATTTTGAGGACTCTAAAGTTATAATTTTCATACTTGAATTAATATTCAATATATCGTTATTATTGCTGAACAACTTTTATTGGAATAACATTATTTTTCTATACTCAAAGTTGAAAACTAATAAAAACATCTTTAACATATACTTTACTTAATAACAATAGCTTATGTTGTTGCACTTATATACAAATTACAGGATCACTTTACTACTATGTATAATGCATATATATAGATCTTTATTAGACTTTAAAAACCAAGTTTTTAAGTCTGACCACCTAAGTACCATTCTAACTTACAAGACCTTCGTAATACATAATAAAGTCCCATAGGAATACAGTTCTGTTTAATGAAACAACTATTGTTGTACACAGTCTACTCTTATGCTGGTTGGAGTGAATGAGTTATTTTTAAATAAGCTGCCCCCCTGAACTTAGTTTCGCCTTATTAAGTTTTTAGCCTACCTTTTTAGTAGCTACATCCCAAAAAATGGAACTTTTTACTATACTATCCCATAGAAACTGTTCACTTTTCCGAAATAAAAACCTAAGTACTAATTAAAAATCAAATATACATATTTCGCAAATTTTTCTCTTTATAAAAAGAGAGTTCAAGAAATAAAAAAATCTAATTGGCCACCACATAGCAAGATATTTTTGAAATCAGTTTTATTTATATATAGATTTAGAATTAATTTCGTAACGATATAAAAACTATATTTGTTACCTATTCATTTCAGATAATTTAACACACGTCGAACTGAACAATGTCTTTGTTATGAGATGTGTATTTCGTTTATTCTCGAGAATTTTATGAAAACAGTATTTAAAGAAAAAACTTTTTAACCGGATTAAAGTTATGTAAAAAAGTTTTTTCTTTAAATGTGTAAAGGTTATGTTAATCAAAGACAATACTATAAAACAGTATTGTTGTATCTTTCTTTTTGACAATTCATGTAATAATTCTAATACCAGCGTAATGTATAATAGAAAAATTGATATACATTATATTTTGGTACCGAGGTAAAATAACGATTATCTATGACCAAAGATGCAATGTATGTTAATTACGTTCGTAATGTTTGCAATGCGAATGCTATTTCTATTAAAAAAAAATATTTGTAATATAGTACTATGTTTCATAGCATTCTTTAAAAAATCTTATACACATTCTTATATCTGGAGTTGTATGCGTTACATTTCGTTGTAACATAAACATTTACGCTACCCAAATATATATATCAAATATCTTTTAACTACGGAAGAAATTGTCGATAACATGTATCTCAATCTAATCGTATCAGAGCGAATGTTCTGCCTTATTTGATAATAAATTTACCAAGGGCATTATGCCAACGTAATAGCTGTAATTTTAGTGCATGCAATGTATCAGTCTTTTGTACTTAACCTAGTTGTTACAACAAATTTAACCTTTTATAATTACCACCCCACAACACATAGGCCATTATTTTGGAACTCGCTATTAATGGTCGATATATTCATTTAAAAAGAGACAATAAAATCTCAGATTTAGATACAAACAAACAACAGAAACTTATGTAAACCCTTTAATAGGCAAACATAGCATGCTTAGTGTTTACTGAGTAACAATTATTTCTTACAAACTATCAATGTGATTTAATCGAGACATATAAATGATGTCTTACAAATATTTGGAGATAGCTCTGCGAAGCTGTAGGAGGGAAGGGAAGGGGTCAATTTCAGGGGAAAGAGATTTTTGCTTTTATCGCAAAAGATCTCTTTTTTAAATTAAATATATAAATAAAAATTTATTTGAATTAAACAAATACTATGAGCAATCGTCCACTATGTTGCTCTTGATTTTATACATATGCGTAGAAATTGCCTTTATCAATTGGCAACGTTACAAAGAATATATTACATATATGTATTTGTTAGAAATATTTATTATAATCATGATAAAAATACCGTGATATTACCAATGTTGTATCAAAAACTAAGATATGATAAATAACTTAGAACAAACCAATATAAGACGTAGTTTTGAGCGCGTTTTTATATTTAATTGTAACAATATTTCCGTCACATTGTACGTATGTCTATAGTAAGATTACGTAAATTCCTTTTTAATTGAATGCACTGTATATTATCAAGTGTTGGGCTTCATGTTAACTGATAAATAATTAATTAAATCAAATTAAACGAATAAAATATTCTGTAGAATGGTTTTTTAATTTAATTTAATCCTTAATGATTATTGCAAATTTCGCTCTCGTAAGATGTGTTATTATATGAATAAATTTAATCACAAAGCGATCTCTCAGAATCAAATAAAGGAAAATAGAAATATTAATTTTGTACGGGACTACAGTACCTAATTAATCAAAATGTATTATTAATATTCTGTATTGTATATGAGTTTCACACCTTTAATAGATTTATTATAATAACTAATCAGTTAACAGAGCAGTGTTGGCCTAGTGGCTTCAGCGTGCGACTCATATCCCTGAGGTTCGATCACCGGCGGCACCAATGAACTTTCTATGTGCGCATTTAACATTCGCTCGAACAGTAAAGGAACACATCGTAAGGACGCTTGCCTTAGGGCTTATTTACACAAGCGGCACGATGCCCTTAGACCCAAAGAGTCGACGGGGTGTGTCAGGCACAGGAGGCTGATCACTTGCTTGCCTTTTATATTGATTATGAAACAGATACCGATATCTGTGGCCCGGACCTTTAAATGTTGTAGCGTCACTGATTTATTTAATTAGTTCATAATCATAATAGATATGGCTTAATACTTTTCTAATTTCTAATATAATGCTATGTTTGTACGTGTGTAAATAATATGTATGAAATTCAAACAAATTATTTAAACGATTTGTTATCGGAAAATCAATTGACTTTTTATTGATAGAACATTGTTACGGAAGGGGAAGCCAGGTATAACCTTTATGCAAGGACAGATATGATTGTTGTTCAGTCAGATGAAAAATTGCATTTCGGTTATTGCAACACAATTAGACACGTCGATTATAAAGTTAAAAGTTCCTACTTTAGAATCACTACGAAACAATTATGTTGAATTTGTAATTTTAATGATTAAAAAAAATATGTTTATTATGGAACATAAGATACAGGTATCCACGTCATGAAATTTAAATTGGTAGACATCCCTACTCATCGGCAAAGAAGATCGAGAGAAAAAGACGGCGTAAGAAACTCTCGGTACTCTTTTAAAATAGCAAATCATCAAACAACACTAATTTTAAAACAAAAATCGCAAATTAATTAGAAGTAGCCTGTCTAGCACTCGTCCCAGGCCCTTTTATCAACTATATAATCGTTAACTTTATAGTAAGCCTTTTTAGACAGCCTTTCTTTACAGGAGATATCCCAGGTATTTTTAAGACTACAATATTTTTATCCCAGATAGCTTCGTCCACTGCAAACGGGACTCTTTTTTGGGGGCTATTCCCAATATAGGATATCTAAAAAAGCGAACATTTATTCCTGTATGTCGAATTCCAATACGTTTTTGACAAATGGCGCCACACTTAGCGCCAAGTCTCTTGAATATCACCCTCAGGGTGTTTACACTTCGACCTTAGTATCGACTCTGAATCGTACTTGATTTAGTTCGTACCTACGTAGTAAAATTGCTAGAAACATTTTAATCTTTTCTAACGAATGCCAAAACTACTTGCGTATTAGGTGAGAAATCTAGAAACAAATATCTGAAGTCAAGTAGGTTGTAAAGTACATTTCATTGTAAAATGTGTGTTTATTAATTTAGCCACGAGTAATAAGATTCTAAGTTCTAACCATAATTATCATGATAACAACAAGTGTTTAACAATAGGAAGCAATCATTAATGATATCTATGTTATAATAAGTTTATGAAATTGGAAAATGTAGACCTCAAATATCTACTCCGGTTAAAAATTCCAAATTAAATTTTTTCCGACTGTGTTCGTGCAAGTGTTTTAAAAACCGTGATTTATTTAATTTTCACGTTTTAATTTTTTTTCTTTGCGTCACTATAAAATGGAAAACATGAAATATCGCGTTATTTACTGGTAGGTACGAGTTACACCGTGGCACCAGTGCTGCAGAGACGGCTCGAAGATGTGTGAAGCGGCGGTTTCGCAAAAGAAAACAGTGCCTTTTTGGTTCCAACGTTTTCGTTCTGGAAATTTCGATCTACAGAACAAGCCACGTGGACGGCCGGAGACCAAAGTTGATAACGAAGAATTGATAAAATAGGACTTAATATTACATGTCTAAAATACGTTTTTGTCTCGTTCTATTAAATTATGCTTACGTTACGATAAAAGAGATGGATGAGTTTAGTAAGGACTTATTTTTTAGGTATCGATACATCTCAATTGTGGCTGCATTTTATCTGATTGCAATGTTGCTTATTGTTATTTATCTAGCCGATTTAGATACAACAAGAACATATTAATGTATCGTTATCTCAAGTACCTGTTTACGCATTGAAAACTCTATAATACTTCGTGTTGAGTTTCAAAAATAATATAAATACGAAAATTACAATAGATGACGTACTTTATTTATATTCTATATGTTATATAATAATTTGATTAAAGCTTTAAACGCGAATGTATTACTTATAATTACTACAGACTAGCTTACACGTACCTCCATCTAAATATGTGGAAGATTGAAATAATTTATTGAAACCGCCTGTATTGTCTAGAAATTTAAAAAAAATCTGTGTCTCAGATTTCTAAATCTGTCTCATGATCATTTTTCAATCTAATAGGCAAGTAGGTGATCAGCCTCCTATGCCTGACACACGCCGTCGACTTTTTGGGTCTAAGGCAAGCCAATCCTCACGATGCTTACCTTCCCGGTTGGAGCGAATTGTTCATGTGAATCTCAAGCCCCTTATTGTTATGGTAATTGTTTTTTTCAGTGCGCCCAAGTAGCGACAAATGTAGTGGAACAAAAACACCAAGTGTCAAGGATAAAGAGGAGTAAGGCGCTGGGCAGCAAAGCATTCAGAGGCAGCACAGTATGGTTCACTGGACTCAGTGGAGCCGGAAAGACAAGTATTGCCTTCGCATTGGAGGCGTACCTTGTTTCTAAAGGTAATTTTTTTCTCATGTATTCCCTTTTCGACTTGCACCGAAAAGGTTGTATATCGGTGCATGTTTGGTATGCTATATCGCCTCCGTCTGTAAAACAATTTGTCAAATTTAAACATCGACGCATTTGATTTTTGGGGTATTTTTATTTCCGTGTTTATAAACTATACAATACATTGAATTCACTCGATTAAATAAGAAACATTTCGATATTTTTAGTACATTTCAAGTTTTTAATTAAAATAATTGTAACATTAATTTCTTTATTAGATAATTCTTCGGGTTTTGACGGCTTTGAGTATGGTTATATAGTGTGTTATTTTTTTTTGCAATTAAAATACTCGATTCTTATACAATTCGACGGACAAATTAGTAGACTTACTAATTTTATCATCATCATCAATGCCGTACAGCACCTTATGGGCCTTAGCTTCACCATCGCAATCTATCTCGTGCCTCTTGCGTCCAACTTCGTTAACCAAATTTTTCGACGTCCTTGACAACTCCATCACTCACCAACCCGGCCTCGGTCTACCGGGTTCTCTCTTCCCACTAGATTGTGAGTTCAGTAATTAGTAAGGACCGTGGGGTTCTGTAGTCCGCCATTCGATTTTCTAATTTACTAAGCCCGACACGATTATCGTTCCTGACCATTTGACAGATTGGATAGTTAGCAAATTCTCTGTTTTTTGAGTAACAAACGAACGTATGACTTCTGGTCTTAATATCGAACAGAAACGGAACAGTCTGATTACCATATGTCAAAAAAGAACTAGAAGAGAGGAAGAAGAATTGTATTAGATGTTGATAACAGGAGTTTCTAATAGAAAGTTTAGAAAAGAAATCAATAGGTAGGTTTGATAATAATTCCGAATACATATCACTAGCGAGCCTAAGATCGTAGCATGTTCTATATACTTAATTAACGGACTAAAAGATACTTTTCTTTTCTCATATTAGCGCATTTATCGAAATTCTTCATCGAAGTTAAGATTTGGCGTCGACGTTATTGAACCTTTTTTGTGTTGTTTAAATTTTAATGTGTCCTGTTTGAAAGGGCTAACGGATAAACCTGTCTTATACACGTGTGTCAGCACGAAATCAACAAAGTTTTGAATGCATTTTTGCGCTTAGCTTGCGAGAGTATCACAAAAAGAATTTAGTTATATTTTTATACCAGGTAGATTCTGAATAAAAATAAATGTCTGTAACTTAAAGTATACATATAAATGTCACAAAAAATAATGCTTCTAAATATACATTTACTGCCATTTCCCAAATGGCCGAGAAGATCTGGCAATAAACTCTTCTTCACTCTTTCAAATCGCCATTTTTTTTACAATACTTGATAAAACAGTTAATGATTGTAATTGAATAAAAAAAGAACCAAACGTTTAAATCCCCTTTAGGCATATTGTAGGAAGAGAGACAACCCAACGCATGGTTGGCTATATGTACAAATACTGTAACTGACAGATGTGTCACAGTGTAACAATGATTACAGGAATCCCAGCTTACGGTCTTGATGGTGACAATGTGCGTACAGGCCTCAACAAGAACTTGGGTTTCAGCAAAGAAGACAGAGAAGAGAATATTAGACGTGTTTCCGAAGTCGCCAAGTTATTTGCGGACAGTGGAGTTGTTTGCCTGTGCAGTTTCGTATCACCATTCGCTGAGGTAACCGAAAATAATTCATCATTTATTGTATGTGTTTGACGCACAGATGTGATATATGTTATGTTAAATACAACTCTTATGCTATTGTATATTATATATTTTATGGACACTCCCTATACATTTAGTCTGTTATGAAACAAAGAGTAACTCAAGTCCGCCAAAACAATGTTTTCATCTTTTATAATCATTTGTTCAGTCACTATCGATGTAGAACGTTCCGTGCTTCCAAGTTCTTTGTTTAAACTCTACACACCAATATGGAGTAGCATGAACACCTGAAGTTGGTCTAAAGTTTTTTTTACTAGCTCCGTAATAAAAAAAATCAGGGATATTTTATAACCGCACTAACTTTAATTGTATACATAACATGTTTAAAAACACGTTCCGACAAGGCCGAAACAAATTAATTACATTTTTAAAAAACAATAGAGGATCGATTGCTTTTTGGAGTTTACTCCTTAAGAAACGATTTGAGTTATAAGGCCCGGTACGGAAATTTTATGAGGAATAAAATCAAGTGTAACACGAAAAGTTGAGGCGTTATGTAGAAAGAGACAAACATATATATCTGTAGGATTGAACGTGTAAAAGAATGAGATGGAATACATTACACAGACTTTTCTATTTTGAATTAACGTACATTATCGCCATCTTTGTTCTGCAGTGCATTTGACACAAGCCGAAACTATAAGCCTGGGAAACACCACAGCTTATAAAGTATGGAAGTCGTTCGTGCCGTTTTGTATAGAAATCAAGATTTATTTTAAATAACATACTTTATGTAATACGCTTTATTGAAGTAATATAAATAATCCGAATAATTACAGATATATGTTTGTTTCTCTTATCATTTTAGCACATGCGTTCATTTACCCTTTTTTTCTATTCGATATATATCATAATTATCGTTCGTAAGGAGTAAACTCCAATCGTGCGTCGTAGCTGACACACACACACTTTTTTTGTTATTATTAAGTTTTATCTGGGCTATGCTTGCCAGTATTTTTTTTCTTTCCAAGAAGAATGTATTGCTATTACGATGGCATAATACTTTCAACGTAACTGATAGTCCTAACTTATCATTAAATGATTAATTATAACATTAAGAAATAATTATCTGTTTTAATTACATCCCGGGGATGTACGACTGGACTGGAATTGTTTTGTACGTTACTCGGGAATAATGTAGTAATGTTGAGAATATTTTTATACATCGCTCCAGTAGTTTTTGTGTTCATTCGTTACATTTTTTGTTCTTTATATAAGATATATAATTACGCATTTCCTACGCATTATATAAAACATGTTTAATATAATTAAAAATGTAGGGCATTGTTCGTATAAGGTTATCTTATATGTACTTATAATTGCTAATATCATAAGTCAATGAACCGTAAACACATTTAAGGATGCTCGTATATATCATATATTAGACGGAAGTTAAGTACAAATTGTTTCGTTAAGTATCACTTGGACTCCCTTAGTTTTGGTTTTGCCATTGTGTCCAGGTACTTTTTCCATCTCTTTTCAACATATGGACAAGTTAGTCAAAGTCAAAATCATTTATTCATGTAGGTAACATAGTATAAGATCCCGCTATACAACGACCTTCACCGAGATGCTTATTTAATGAAACTTATTTTATATTTAATTTAATATGTCAATAAATATAATCCATATGGGTTGCCTAGCAAATTTCAGTCCAGAGTATGTTTCATTAATATTAAAAAAATTTTTTTGAAGTTATACTTCTTTAGGCGCGTTATGAAAAATTTATGAGAGTGAAATTTTACAATGCGCGCGCACCCGTGACACAAAATTAGGAGTGTGATTATAGCGTGCGCGAGCGAGATAGGAATAAGACAATCTACAAGTAAAAAGAAATAGAATATGCGTGAAGTTCGTATGCCAACAATTTTGAATGACCATAATGACATTTGTCATTTACCTTTTAAACAAATAAAGGAGTTTTAATTATTTTTTCAAAGAAATTTATCGATGCTTTTTGAATTATAATCAGAAGTGATTTAAATTGCATATTTAAACCAATACTAATTAATATTTGTGAAAAAACTGTGCTCATCAACCTTCCTAAGTGCTTCAATACAATTGAGGTTAACTATCCGTATGTATTATTATTATTATCGAGTAATGTTTTGATTAAAAAATTAACCACAATAGAAAAGAGACAAAAAACAATTGATGAATCAGTGTAACTGCACTAAATTGAATACAAAAAAAGAGTTTTCATCTCATCGCTGTGAAACATCAAAAACTGGAGGTGGAACAAAGCCAAACTATTTTTAATATTGCCAAAGAAGTATAACTTCTTACGCGCGTACATAAGTACACGGACCCTTTTTTTTTATAATTTGCATGTAGTAAATTTTTTGAACTTTTTTCAATCAATATTTTTAATCAGGGTAGTATTATATATGTATCACTATAACCTTCTTTTATACTAAAGATGTATATATACGAGTACTTTAGTGTCACATAAAAAATATACACATAAATAATTAATTGATTAAAAACACCCTAACGTTTGCATATTCTATGGGCTTCATACGTTCGATTGGTATAGAATTTATCTAATAATCATACCGGTGAAATGTTTAAAAATTTTTTTTTTTACATTAATTAAACATACTCTGGACTGAAATTTCCTAGGCAACCCATATGGATTATATTTATTGACATATTAAATTATATATAAAATAAGTTTCATTAAATAAGCATCTCGGTGAAGGTCGTTGTATAGCGGGATCTTAGACCAACACAATGGACACTTATGAACGTCAAAAAAGAAATATACATTAAATGCTTCTTATTTTACATTTACTGCCAGTTCTCAAATCAAGGGCGTAGAACGGAAGAAAAACTGGCAATAAACTCTCCGCCACTCTTTTTATTCGCCAAGTTTTTTGTTTTACACAACGTTTGTAAGGAGCTGCAACTATTACACCATTTTCCACATGACATCTTAAGTAATAAAAAATAATAAATTAAAAACAAAGATCTGTCCTCTATCAGCAGCAGGTGATATAGGTGCACGCACTTACATTCTCGTGGGAACAAAACTCAAATACATAGTCGAAATAACTAACATTACACGTGAATATAGAGAGAAAAATCCGTTGATCCACAGCCGGAGTTCAAACCTACACTCAGCGATGAAAGTCGCACGCTGATATCACTAGGCGAACACTGCTCTCCTTTTTACGTTTAGTTCTCATAATATTTTTTCGCTATCAGACCTTCTGCCGTAACAAAGTTTTCTAAATCACTACCGAGGAAAACCGTCATCTTAATGACGAGCTAAGGCTCGTGTTACTGTAAAAGTGTGTATAAGTACAGTGTAAAAGCTTTATAACGTAATTCGCTATAACAAAAAACTATAACCAAAAGTAATTTGGTTGATTTAACGTGTGCCATTATTCTTAGATTATATAGGAAATGTTGGTCTCAGTTACTAAACGCACCATTGTCACCTATGTATTATATATATATAAATTATTGTAATTGGTTAAATTTGGTGTTTTTCTTCTCTCCCTATAACAAACTCTCTATAACGAAGATATTCCACGGTCTTTTGAAATTCGTTATAAAGAGTTTACACTGTAATTGTAACTATGCTATGACCTGACGACATTAAATATTCAATTCACAGGACAGAGAAATAGCACGTCGTGTCCACACGGATTCCGGTCTGCCATTCTTCGAAGTTTTCATTGACACACCGTTGGAAGTGTGCGAGCAACGTGATGTTAAGGGCCTGTACAAAAAGGCCCGAGACGGACAGATTAAGGTACCTAAATAATAAAATTAAATATTTTTTCAGGTTTAGTAAGTATTGGTATAAAGAAGATTGCCCAGCTACTGTTGTTGCCTTCTCAGTCCAAAGATGAACACGTATGTTCATTATATTTAATTATTAATTTTCCTATAGCTAATTCAATAATAATACAAGATATAAACAGGAAATACACAAACACAAATAAATGTAGTAACTGCGGTGAGTGAAAATATTGCCGTGTTCTGTGGTACTTCAAAATTGAAATCGTAATTTTAATATTAAATACAGGTTATGTACTATTTATTCTTCAACGCACTAACTATGTGTGATTGTTATTAATTTTTTGTATTGCTACAGTTAAATAATATTACACAAATATACAATATAATTAAAAAATATTAAAAGGAGAATATTCGACAAAAACAAAAACAGAGTTATAAAAACTATAGTGTATTAACAAATACAGTTAAGTATTTGTTAATACACTATAGTTAGTAACTATCTATATATCCTTGTTTAATCGAGGAGTATTAAGAATATCCAAAACGCTAAATGACCTGCATCACACATACACATCTTCACGTACATACCCTCACCATTTTTTATTTTAAGTTCACTACATCATACATAATGCTATGTGTTCAATATATGTTACAAGCTATCTTTTCTAATTACTTAATAATTAATTTACAAAGAAGTTTCACGTCTGACATGTGTACTTTGTACGCACTTTTTTTTTAAATTGATCAGCCCACTACTGATATATAGTTTTTCTTTTTAACTCGTAAATATTGTAACCTTTTTGTGTATATTATGTATTCCATCTTTAGCTATATTTCACAAATGCTTTTAGGGCTTCACTGGAATAACACAAGAGTATGAAAGACCCGACCAGCCCGAACTAGTTATTGAGACAGTGGGTCGCTCCATTGAAGAGTCCACTATGGAAGTCATAAAGCTTTTGGAATCACAGGTTTGTTAATAAATATGTGTTGTGTTTATTTGTTTGTATTACAAATGTATTTGGGAACTAAGTTAAGTAAATGGTAGCGTAGTTTATTTTATTAATTTGTGGTTTTTATAAATCAACTATGCAAAATAATAATAATAATCCACATACATTATATAAATATATATACAATTTTTAAATAAAAAATAATTTAATTAAAGGCGCTACAACCTATTTAGGTCTAGACCTCAGATTTCTGTATCCGTTTCATGATGATTTGTCAATCTGATAGGCAAGTACCTCAGGCTGATCACCTCCTGTGCCTGACACACGCTGTCGACTTTTCGGGTTGAAGCAATTGCTCACGATGTTTTCCTTCACTGTTAGAACGAATGTTAAATGCGCACATATAAAGAAAGTCCATTGGTGGACTAGCCGGGAATCGAACCTACGATGAGGGATGACAGTCGCACGCTAAAGCCACTAATACATGGGTTGTGGGTTGTTACACACAACCTGGTTGTGCGAAATTTCACTAGCAAATATGGTAATATTTACTCTACAATAATCTCAGATATAACAGATTTTTGCTGTTAAAATAAATAATTACATGTAGGTATTTTATAACTGCAAACGGGCAGGAGGCACATCTGTTGTTAAGTGATACCGCCGCCCATGGACACTCACATTGCTAGAAGGCTCGCAAGTGCGTCGCAGCCTTTCAAGAATTGTTACGCTCTTTTCTTGAAGGACCCTAAGTCGAATTGGTTCGGAAATACTTCAGTGGGCAGCTGGTTCCACATAATGGTGGTGCGCGGCAAAAACTTCTATATTTAGTACTTCTATGTGAAAACATACATATATATATTTCAGGGTATAATACCACACTACGAAAGTGTGTCCGGGGCAAACGAATTGTTCATTTATGGGAACCGGCTAAGCAGTGCCATCGAAGAGGCCGCGAGACTTCCCCAAATAAACATCTCAATGTTGGACCTGCAGTGGGTACAGGTAAATAAAATTACTTATACGCACTGAAGATACGTTTTGCTATATACTAATAGTAGTAGTGAACCCGACAGACGATGTAACTATACTTTGATTTTTAATTCCGTAGTATTCTGACAGCTATCATTTTTTGACGTTTCAGAGATTGCAAACCTTTTGTGCCGGGCACATTTTTCAATTTCTGAGTCTATACATTCATTTTATTTGTTAGTGAATGTATCCATTTTATTAAGTGCGGTGCTCCATATTAAAAGTGGTTTTACGGCGTGGGATATTTACGTCCCTTTTATTCACAAACAGTAAAAAACGCACAAGTAAAGATAACATTTTATTATTTTGAAAAGGTTTACTAAACCTGGAATTAGTAAGCAGTGATGCCAGCTAAAGAATAAAATAAAGTAGTTAAAGTTAATTCGATATTGTTCGTGGTATTGAAATATTTATTATTTTTGTATTAGGTCACTTGAGTAAGTAAATATTTAGATTTACCTTTTTGTAGGTAAAACATAAAAATACGTAGTATTTTAATTTTTATTGCCCTCAAATTGGTCAAATTTGTCCCTTTTTCGGTAGAGAACTTTTTTAGTATCAACACTCATGAAATATCAGAATTCTACGGAATGAAAAATCATTGTATATGTTACTATAAAAGCTCGAACTACGGTTAATCTTAAGATTTAAGTGTAAGTCTTAGGATTTACCGTACCGAGTTGGTAAATGTAAGTATTTCTGAAAATACGACGATTTTTTCGAGCTTTTACCATCCGAATTCAGTATATGCTAGGTTTTACCACTGTCAGCTGGTAGATGTTGGTTTTAGGAATAAAACAATGAGTAATTCTTAATTATTTACTTTAATGAACTATTAGACAAAACAGGTACATAGTATTATAAAGGTATCATATGATAGTAATAAGTACTAACTAACTACCAACTTATTTAAATTATTTTGAAAAAACACATAACATATATCTCTGAATATCTCAATATCTATCATATCTATCTAACTGAATCAGTAGTTCTCTATTTGGAATTTAACAACGAAATACAAACATAATGCTTACATAAGCTAGTCTAACTTAAAAATATTTTTTTGTTTTTCAACATTTACCGTGCCATTAATGTAAATCCTAAGATTTACCAACGGAATGGTGGTAAGAGTTCGAATCGCAAACCTTTTGGTTTTGGGACATTTACCATTAGGAATTGGAATATCTTAGGATTTACTACAGTTCGAGCTTTTACAGTAACATATACACTCGTTTTAAATAAAAATAAAAAAATTAATTGTAAATCTATTAACCACAAGAAAAATTTCATCAAAATCTATTTTTAGATGATAATTTACAGTCTCAGAAAATTTGTATAAAGAATTATCAAGTTTCATGTAATATACCAAAAAATCGTCTAATCTATATTAGAATCATTCTCGAACTATTTATTTTGAAGCCAGTCATTTTTTTTTTAATTTTCATTTATTGATCATCTATTTTCTTCCCAGGTTTTATCTGAAGGCTGGGCATATCCGTTAAAAGGATTCATGAGGGAGACAGAATATTTACAAGTAAGTTGAAAAATGTTAGGTTCATTGAATTCATTGCTCATTGAATGTGATTTCTATACTTTCCAAACGATTATATATAACATCATACTTATACAAAATAGTTTATAAAGACTTCTTTTTAATTATTCAAAACATTTTATAAATAGTTTTATGTTCATAAATTTAATAATGTCGTCTTGGAATCGATACTCCGCAAAAAAATTTTGCGTTGTATTCGTTGATAACCTAAAAAAAATTACTACGCTAATTCAGACATTATTTTAAAAAATTTCAATTTACACGTGAAAATTCAAATTCTATTTACAAGGTAAACATTACGACGAAATTGGGATTAGATCCAAAAATCGATGGACAGCCACAGAAGGCTGTTCATCTACTTACCTAATAGGCAAAAACGTTACATTTTTTTTATTATGATGTTACATTTAAAGATATATATATGTATATATATGAATAATTACGACTTATTAAAAAAACGTGTGTACATATGTACGTTAGAAGTTATACTTCTTTGGCGTAATAATTTTCTTCGAGCGCTTCAGAGGGACGCTTTTTCTACGAATTGCATTTTTTCTTGTCTATTTTAATGGTCACTTCCAATCGAATTGATATAATATGTACTAATGATGATATTTTTCAATAAACACTATGTTTTTTTATCACATTTGAACGGGTTTTCTTGCATAGAAAGGTATTTTGGTTTAAATAAACACTCTAAGAAACTCTACGCCTTGACAGACAATGCAACATGTCGATAAAACAGAGCAAGCGCCAACTAGCGGCCCAGACTGTTTTACCGACGTTTTAACAGATGTTCAGGGTGTCGGTGTTTTGAGACGGTGTGCGCGCGCATCGTAAAAATTTACTCTCATCATCCCTAACGTGCCAAAAGAAGTATAACTTCAATAACTTCATAATATCAATGCATAAATTATACATCAATAATTATATTTTTATGCCTTTGTCGGGATTGCCAATTAAGAAAGTGTAAGAAAAATCCTATGTATCATCCGAAATATTTTTTTTTTTTCAGGCCCTCCACTCAAATTGCCTTACCCTATCTGACGGTACAATCGTAAATCAATCGGTGCCAGTGGTGTTGCCAATTACAACAGAAGACAAAGAGCGTCTGACCGGCTCTTCGGCAATTTCCCTAGTATACGATGGCAAGACTGTTGCCATTATTCGGGAGCCTGAATTCTACCCGCACAGGCAAAAGGAGAGATGCTCTCGGCAATTTGGAATATATCACACTGGTCACCCGTATATTCAGGTAAATATGTTTTAGTTACCCTAGTTTTTTTGACCCATTTTTTAAGCATTTGGGTAAATAATGTAAAAAAATATTTATTTATAAAAAAACACTCGTCAAAACAATGAGCAGTTGTTGGCCTAGTGACTTCAATGTGCGACTCTCATCCCTGAGGTCGTAGGTTCGATCCCCGGCTGTGCATCAATGGAATTTCTTTCTATGTGCGCATTTAAAAAAGTCCACGGCGAGTCAGGCACTGGAGGCTGATCAGCTACTTGCCTATTATATTGGCAAATGATCTTAAAACAGATACAGAAATATGAGGCCTAGACCTAAAAAAAGGATGTAGCACCACAGACTTTTTTAATGTGAAATAATAATTAATAAATGATGCTATAATTTTGATTAGATGATCGCTGAATCTGGAGATTGGCTTGTTGGTGGTAATTTGGAGGTGTTTGGGCGTGTCCGTTGGAATGACGGACTGGACGCATTCCGCCTAACACCTAACGAACTGAAGGAGAAGTTCAAGGAACTCGGTGCTGATGCTGTATTCGCGTTCCAGGTAAAGAATTTTAATTCGCAGATAGAGGCAGGAATAATTTGACAAAAGCTGTATAAATTGTAAACATTATCCTTGTTTTTTGAAGTCGGTTAAAAATTTCGTAACAGAGCAACATTCCTTTATTGCTCGCAGTTCGATTGCCGGCGAAATTTTTTTAGACTTTGATAATACATATGTATACGGATTTTTTTTTATTATTATTTAATATTAATTAATTCGTATCATATAAGTAGCTCGTAACTTATTTTGTGTGTAAAGTAGGAGAAATTCAAAAAGTATGTTTTTTAATTACGGTGTACTATATCTAACTTAATTTTCTTTTTGAAAACTATATTTCGTATGAAAAGCAACAAAATAACTCAATCAAAACATTATTTAATTCATAGAAATGCTAATAATTTATGGACATGGAATGAAATATGTATATTATTTATTATAAAAAAGTGTAATTAAAAAATGATGTTTCAGCTCCGCAATCCAATCCACAATGGCCACGCCCTCTTGATGCAAGACACTCAGCGTCAGCTCATCGAGAGAGGATTCAAGAAGCCAGTTCTGTTACTGCATCCGTTGGGTAAGATTTTCATAAATTAATAAAAATAGTTTTATATTTTAAATTTTCCTTAATATTTCGTTAATCCAGATGAAATCCTGTAAAAATGGATCCTCTGTGTCATTCAACGATATATATATTTTATTTTTTTAAATATTCAAGTGAACTTTTAAATATATTTCGGAGAAATATTGCCTTCTTCGATAGTATCGTGGTGGGTTTTGTGGGCGTTATGTGGATAAAGTGCGAGCACAAAAACACGAATAAAGACGGTACAATATTTACTTTTAAGTTGTTTCCTTTTAACACTTCAAACGGCACTTTAGCTTAAATTGTAATGAGCAGCGGGTTCAAGGCACCGACTTTACTATCAAGCCCAAATCTCTTCGACCCAACTTGGTCCAAGAGGTTTGGGACTCTATTCACCATGCTAACACACTGTCTCGTGGCACGAGGCACGTGCCCTGCTCTGTTATTGTTTAACTAGGAAACCATTTAATAATAACAAAACAAATAAAAAAAATCGGTTGTCTGTAAAGTCGGTTTACTGACGATAGTTGAACGTGACAACGTCATAAGAAAATTCTGATGGAATGGTTGCATTTTTCAAAAGAAAATTATAATTTTATTTGTTAGATAGATATTTTGTATGGATATAGAGAAGGAAGTAAATGGAAATCACAATTGAATTGATCAAGTTACATTTATTTGTACGCATAAATACAATTATGTAAATTTTTGTGTGCAAGCGAGAGCGCGGAACGAGTGCTCTCGCTTGCACTTCAAGCCTTAAATGGAACGCCTCAGAGGTAACGCCGCATGAGTCATGTTTTTTCGTGCGTGCAGCCGGCTCCATCGAATTATAAGACGTTGTCACGTCAATAAAATTAAATAATGAATCTTAAATGTAATACAAATGTTTAGCAAAAGTAGGAATAAAATACAACGGTCAATTGACTCGATCAGAACATTTCCTGATAATCGAAGCATTCCCTGACATATATATTCAATTGAGATATATATATATATATATATATATATATATAGTTTTAACGATAATATATAATCTTTTCTTTTAAATTCTGAACTAATTTTTTAAAGATATATAATATATTTTTTCTAGGTGGTTGGACTAAAGACGATGATGTCCCACTAGAAGTGCGCATCAACCAGCATAAGGCTGTATTGAATGAGGGTGTGCTGGACCCCAACTCCACCGTTTTGGCGATTTTCCCATCACCAATGATGTATGCTGGACCGACTGAGGTATATCTCACACGATCTTTTTTTAAAATTGAATATACTTTATTGCTTAGTAGGCAAGTAGATCAGCTTCCTGTGCCTGACACACGTCGACTTTTTGAATACGGCAAGTCGGCTTTCTCACGATGTTTTCCTTCACCGTTCGAGCTAATGTTCAATCCAAGAAAGTCTTTTGGTGCACAGCCGGGAATCGAACCAACGACTTTAAAACCATAATACTTAATCAGCACTGTCTCATTTCAAGATGGCGCCTCGACCCTACTCGAGCATTTGCTCCGCTCTGATTGGTCGTAACAATATTCGTACTTTTATTCGTTAAATAATGATTCCAAAATATAAAATTATTATTGATCCAATTAAATAATAACAAAACAAATTAAATTATGATTGTAAAAGTAATAGGAGACCAAAGCAACAATAATAATTAATTAACTCGATCAGACATTCCCTGACAAGTAAATTGAAATGGCTGTACATTTTTTTTATTAGGTACAATGGCACGCCAAGTGCAGAATGAACGCGGGGGCGAACCACTACATAGTGGGGCGTGACCCAGCCGGTCTGCCCCACCCTGATGGCGGTGGCGATCTCTACGACGCCAGGCACGGGGGCATGGTGCTTAAGATGGCACCTGGACTTAACCATCTCGAGGTGAGCGCCAGTTTTTAAATTTGAAACGGTATAGCTACGTTACGACAATAGAAGTAATTTAAACTTTATTGCATTCAAAATAAGGCATAAAATTGTGCCAATTATTTGTTTATCATTTTTATTAATAAATATATATACATGTATTTTTTGTGTCACATACTGACTTTTTTTAGCTATACTTAATATTATTGTATTTTTTAGATTATTCCGTTCCGTGTGGCGGCCTACGACGCATCCGCCGGTAAAATGGCGTTCTTTGATCCCACAAGGAAAGAGGACTTCGACTTCATTTCTGGGACTAGGATGAGAGGTACTTTGGAATCCTTCAATGTCGTTGTGTCAATTCCTCTGGTGTCAGATTCAAATCGTCAAATGAATGAGTGTCATATGTCAAAATCTGACTTTGACGAATGGGAGACATTAAGCCCTAAATCACGTCTCTAAATTTCAATATCAGCCCCTTGGGGCATTTGGGGCTGTGGCCACCTTCCTAGGCTTCTGTAACTGAAAAGTTAATGTCCCGGTAATCGAACCCAGATGATTCACGTTACAACTGACCATGACACAACATGTAATAAAATACTTGATGAATTAATATTTTCCCAGGTCTAGCCAGAAGCGGTAAGGAACCACCCAAAGGCTTCATGGCGCCATCAGCCTGGAAGATTCTCTCGGACTATTACCAGTCATTAAAAGCGAAAATGGACACAAACTGATTTTACGAATTTGTCACAAAGCGTTAATTTATTATTTGCAAAGTTTTTATTTATGACATTCCTTTATTTATTTGTGTAGATACACATTCCGTTTTATTGAATATATTCAAATTTATAAAGGTTATTTAAATGTTACGTTGTAAGAGAATTTTATTGTAAACATAATTATGGTGCTTAAAATCTAAAGATTTATTTAATATATAAATACAGTAATATGTGTTTTTTTTTAATCCCTGCGTCAGAATTTTATTGAAATACTGGAGTCATGCTGGACTTCGAGGGGCAGAAAGACACAAATTCTAAGTAAATAATTTTTGTTTTCAATTCATTCGCGTTTTTACAGTTACCTACGTATAAACATGATTATATTGTTATTTAATATTAAGAGAAATCATATTGGATTATATACAGGAGGCATAGTCAGCAAGTATTGTTTCTGAACCCTAAACTCAGTTTCAATGTGAATACACTTGGTCAATCTTTCTATGTGCGAACCTGCATGTCTTAGAAGTAGCATGGCCAACGATCAGCACTTATTTGTACCAAATAGTTTGCGAGGCAATAGTTCACGTGAATTTGATCTAAAAAGTTGCTGTCTGACTAGGTTATTGTGATGAAACAGTTGCAAATATCAGGACAGAAGAATTAAACAAAAGACACAAAGTTGTAGTTCTACTGTTTTATCATAAACTAGATCTATGGGTGTAGTAAAAACACGAAATATACAGAAATCTGAGAACCTATGGCGCAACTTGTTTTATTCGAATTCTGTTTTATTTCTCGTTTCAGTGTCGCATTAAAACACTGCAATTTAAATAAAAACAATGTAATAATACTGATTTAGTTACTAAAGAAAACGTTTCACATAATATCTTGGACATAGAAAAACTAATTTGTTATAAGGTTTATGTTATCTCATAGTTATAGTCATGCCCGATAAACGCATTCAAAAGTTTGACCCCTAGTTCAATGTTATCATTGTTTTAGTTTCGTTAATTTCAAATGTTTTTACGTATTTTATCTACGTTGTTTTTTACATATTCATACTTCTTTGCTTAAGAATAAATATAAATTTCGGTAAAAAATCCAAAGGCTGGATGCAACAACCTTACTTAGAGATCTTTTATATCCATTTATCTCGAAATATTAAAAGTCTAACGAAAGACCAGAATTATTTATCCAATTAAATACAGATACGAAACTGACCTTTATCATTTTAGTATTTAAATTTATCATTGTTTTCGTTGACATGCGATATTACGCTTAATACTTACGTAATAAGGGTTTAATTGTTAATTTAATGTCAGCGATATCAGTTCATCAGAAGTCGTGTATGAAAAAAGTCGTGTTATGGCTCTCCGATTGTGTGTGAAACGGATATTTAATGCAAATAATAAACGATGCATGTCACATTACCCAATAGATGAACATATATTTGGACTGAGCGATGAACAAAAACAGGTAACGTGGTTTATTCTTGTATTTTGTTTTAATTGAACTTGGAACATATTTTCCATTTGACCGTATTCAACGAAGAGCGCGAGCGGTTCAAATCTTCCATGACCAGTTATTTTCCGGTCTGCTTGATCTCTTGGTGTTGCGTAGAGGTGTGGGGTCTCTCTGCATCTTCCATCCCATTTCCCATGGAGAGTGTTCAGAGGAGTTGTGTCCTCAAGCTGAGTTTTATCATCGGAGGTCACCCCGCACCACCACTATGTGGAACCAACTGCCCACTGAAGTATTTCCGAAGCAATTCATCTAATAGTCCTTCAAGAAAAGAGCTCTGTTCTTAAAACGCTGGCAACGCACTTGTGAGCCTTCTGGCAATGTAAGTGTCTATGGGTGGTATCACTTAACATCAAGCGAGCGTTTGCCCCCTGTTACTCAAAAAAAATCATCTAATAAGAATTTACATATTTCATATTATGAATGAGACGCACATACATTGACTGTATTATTGTTTATGAGCACAGTGTAAATTTTAAGCAGATTTTTAACAACTTAAAATTTTGTTCTATTTTTTTTTTTGAAATAATCACAGTAACATGTCTGCTCGTTTACAGCTAAGACAAGTGGTATTTGACTTTGCACAAAAGGAATTAGCACCTAAAGCGGCTGAGATTGATAAGGAAAACAATTTCAAAGAGCTAAGAGAGTTCTGGAAAAAACTTGGCAGCCTCGGTTTACTTGGTAAGCATTCAAGTGTTGTGATACTTAACATTATATCAATCTAGACTACATCTGTCTAAAATTAAGCTGGTTTTCTGTAAACTTATATAGAATAATGAGTAACCGGGCATCAGGCTCATCTGATGTTAAGTGATGGACTCCGCCCATGGACACTCTCAATGCCAGATGGCTCGCGAATTGCCGGCCTTTGAATATATAGGAACTTCCACTACAATGGTACATGATAAAGACAAAACTAGAGCAATATTGATTTTATTCAACATTAAGAATTTGACAGAAGTAACACAGCAAGTGATTGACATAGAATTTCGTCTACTCTAACACCGACAATTCGGCTATGGATTAGATAATGGATAACTCTGCTAGATTACTCCGTCTTCTATCTTGATTAAATTAAAATTAGAATTGTTCAAAATTGGTTTTTCGTTTTCTATATCATGCTAGAAATGGGCCAATTAGTATTATCAAGATCAAGTGTCTGCATGAAATACCACTTAGCCTTTTTATCCCCCATCACCTCGTGGCATTGAAACGAAATAATTGTTTACTTCCTGCGACTGCGAAGATGTCCTCCATCAGAATTTACGTACAGAGGTTTCGAATAGTACTACGTATAGTATTGCCGGAGTTATATGTGTGATTTCAAACGCAGAGTAAATACATCAACCTTTTAATAACTAAATTAGTAAGCTAGCGAGATATACAGCGCCAGATTTAGAGGTCTGGAGGGATCGGGGCAACAAAGGAGTGTAGGCCATCTGGCCCCAAATTATTTTCCAAATAAAATAAAAATTTTTTTCAATCGAGGTTTACAATTAATAATTTTTGTGAAACCAAGTACTTTTTTTTAGTGTTTAACATATAAAAATATATCAAAAGAAAAGTTGTTTACTAGTCAAATTTTAAAATACTTTCTATTGCGGGGGTACCTCTTTGTCTTTTGTGGAGGCCTGGGCCCTCCGCTAAAGCCCTGGAGATACAGACGCCAGTTGCAAAGTCAGCCAGTTTCGAGAGAATAGTTGCGGTATACTTTTTCAGGAGAATAAATGCTTATGAATGGTTTAAATTTTATAGGTATAACTGCAAACCCTGATTATGGAGGAACAGGAGGAAAATATTCTGATCATTGTCTAATTATGGAAGAGTTATCGAGGTTTGTTTAATATCAGTATTTTTGTAATATTTGTTTGTAAATATGTTAAAGGTTAAACTAACGTATCTACTACTTCTTCAGAGTCGTCTATTAATTTAAATGTAATTTTATCTTAATATCTACATTAATAACTACACCATATTTGGGTAAATAAAGCATTATTATAAGTATATATATAAATAGCGGAACATCACTACAAAATGTAACTATCAGTTAACGATTCATTGATCATTCTAGGCCAGTATTTAACATGCCTAATATCATATTCCAATAATTCGCAGAAAATGTGAACGACGGAAGTGGTTGTGTACTAAGAGGCACGTAATTAAATTATTTGTAAATACAATTATATTTATTTTACCTAAATTTTCAGAGCGAGCGGAGGGATCGCGTTATCATACGGAGCACACTCCAATCTGTGCGTCAACCAAATAAACAGAAATGGAACGCATGAACAGAAGAGCAAATATTTACCCAAGGTTTACCCATTATACATTTTTATCAAAATTAGTGTAAATTATATACTTATCTAGTACGATTTAGTAGACTATTAAATGCTAAATTATATATTTTATAAAAACCGTGTAGAATTTGGCATACGGAAGACTGGACGGACGTGAGTTAAAAGTCAAAAGTTAGCGCAGTCTATATATACTTAGTCTGTATTCTGGCGTATGTCAAAATCCCTGTTGCTTCAATAATCAATAGACTTGGCTCAGCCAAGACGATTGATTTTAATCGTAGATAGAGTATAGAACTAGATGAGCTTCTAAAATAACAATAATAACTAAAGAGAGAAGGCATTAACGTGAAATACTTAAGTGCGAGCGAAACAGAGTATAAGTTTTTCTGTCTCTATTTGCGTATCGGGTTTTATTGATATTCACCAAGCCCTTGGTGGTAAACAAGTTTTCACCGCTTACTGATAAATCTGTGAAACCCAAGTCAAACCAATATTTTAATACTTTAACCTTATAAGAGGTGTATTTAAAGTGTCAGTCATCGTGAATTGTTGCATAATTGGCTGTAAAAGCTATAGTGAACGTAAAGAACCAAGCATTTTTCATCGGTAAGTAGCTTATTTTGTCACGACTCAGTAACTTTGTTCAATAATTATTCATTCGAATGTGTATTTTGGTCAATAATAAGCAATCTTCAATGAATTGAAACTGTAAATACGACATATGTCGATCATTCGCTATCTCACACGCTGTACGCGGATGCCTGATCTATACCATAGTCCGTCTACGATTTTAATACATAATCGTGACATATTTTGTCTAATCAATGTAATTTTAAAACATGAATAAAACTGAGTTTACTCTGTTAGACCATATTAAATAAACATTATTCAACAACCAAGAATTCCGCATCGAATTTGGCATTATTATGCATACTTGTTTGGCACATTAAATAGCTCACATAACTTATGTGTGGAATAATCTATGAATTATTAACTATCTAATCTGTAATTCAAAATGTTTAGTTTGTACAGCCAGTAGCTTAAAATATTTATGATCGAAAATTAAAAAAACGGGAACTATGAAACTTTCGTGGTAGAATCGAGACTTAGAGCTAAGACTACAACGGATCTAATTAATAAATAATACTAAATTATTTATTTTCAGTTATGTTCAGGTGAACACATGGGCGCGTTGGCTATGTCTGAGCCAGGAGCCGGTAGTGACGTAGTATCAATGAAGTTGCGAGCGGAGAAAAAGGGCGATTATTATGTTTTAAATGGGAGCAAATTTTGGATAACGAATGGACCTGATGCTGATGTCTTAGTGGTAAGAGCTACGAAGGAATGTGTACTGTTCCTTGTTTCATTGTTTATAGTAAAAAGCGTAATTTTAAGCACTCAACATAAATTACGTTCATTTATTTATTTACACTTCGTTACCTTATACAAAAACATACATATAAAAAAGCAGGTAACTACAATAAACAATACCTTATTTATTAGGCAATATAATATAATAAACAATAACTTATTTATTAGGCAACGGGCGGCCCTAAGCTAACAGTCGTTTCTTCTAGGCAACCCTAGTATGGGACAATAAAAAAGAAACACATACAGAGAGTTAAGTACAAGAAGTGAATAAATTAATTAACAAAAAATAACATACGTTCTAGGTTTATGCCAGAACAGAATTAAACACGAAGCCACAACACGGAATCACTGCGTTTATAATCGAGAAAGGCTTCCCTGGATTCTCGACAGCGCAGAAATTAGACAAATTAGGAATGAGAGGCTCCAACACAGGCGAATTAGTTTTTGAAGATTGTAAGGTTTGTATGTTTTTCATTGTTGTAGCTGTTTTAATTATTTAATCCAATTACTACTTGGGTATATTGGGTTTAAATAATAAAATAATACCTAAAATGGTTAATCTATAGATATTTCTTATACGCCATATTGCGTACGCTCCTTCATCGTTCTGCGGTAAACAGGGTTCCAAGACGACTTTTGATGGAAGCCCATTGAAGTCGTCAAGGTTATATTAAATGGTTGGAGTAAATGTTAACGGAAATATTTATTTCCCACATTATTATTCAATCCTTACAGTTATTACTACTACGATAGACCTACCTAATAATACCTGGTGTTAAGTAAAAAAAAATTATATATAATATATATATATATATATATATATACATATATATACCTAGATCTTATGACAAATAATATAACTAGGTCTTGTAAACTTAGTCAGAGTACTAACAAATAGGTCTACCTCCTTCTATAGAAACGTTATAAATTATCGTATCGTTCGCGTGACTGGAGTCGCAATAACCAAGTTGGAGTATGCGCGCGGTACATCCAAAGGTTGTGACTTCCGCCTCAGTCTTGCTTGGAACCCGTAGACCCAGTCTCTCCATCATAACCACATTACACACAATACCCCAAAGTATCCTAAATAGGTACACTGATATAGCTCTGAGGCGTAGCTGGTCATAACATAACCCACTATATCCAGAACAAATGGGGTCGAATCATAAGCAGATATGAAGGACTCCATACAGCCACACTATTGTTGATCAGCAACACTCGCTATGCAGACGCTAGCGGTGAAATCAAAAATCATGCGTAAGGTTAGGGAGTGGACGGGAATTGCGACTGCGGAAGAGTTTCTGCGTCTGGCAAGGGACAAGACACGCTTGACGAGCCAACGTACAGTAGGGCACCAAGAAGACTGAAGTTGCGTTGTGTCCTTTTAGTAAGCGATCACCCTTAGATGGGAAGGTAGTAACAATTTGAACCCCAATTATGGAGTTGTGGTTTTCTTTATATTTGTAGATACAGTTACCACTTGTACGCTGAAGATAAACATATAAGGGTATTGAAATGTTTAAACATCCACGACGTGTGTTAGGCAAATACGTGTGGGTAACTATTTAAGGCCAATACACATAAACATATAAAGCATAAGAAAATATAGTATTGTTTTTTATTGACATAACTTTTACACATTTAAAGAAAACACTTTTTGAATGGATTATAGTTATGTAATTTAAACTTATAATTATGTTACATAATTTTAAATTTTTTCCGACGTTTCGCGTGCTTAACAGTGTGCGTGGTCACCACAGTGGTCACGGTGACTGAAGACAAAAGGTGTTGAATGTCAAAAAGTATCACAGCTGTAGAAAAAGTTATATTATCTGTATTTAATTCCCCGGAGTTGATATCGACTAAAATATGAAGGGTTTTTGCGGAAATGACTCGTGGTGTCCTCTATTTTCGCGAAATGATAATATTTCTATTAAATTTTATTTTTTATCATAAGAAAATATTTTAAATTGTTTTTGATAATCATTTCATTCGTTTTTTTAGGTTCCAGCTGTAAACGTTCTAGGCGAAGTGAATAAAGGTGTCTATGTTCTAATGTCTGGTTTGGATTTAGAAAGGTTAGTTCTTGCCGGTGGACCTGTGGGTCTTATGCAAGCTGCTATTGATACTGCGTTCCATTATGCGCACACTAGAAAACAATTTGGAAAGAATATAGGAGAATTTCAGCTTCTACAGGTATATCGCCTTTTGAATTTTCAATGTATAATAATAAAAGAAACCAATTTATTTCATTCTAACTCGATGAAACTTGTATTTTATTCCAAATCCAGCGTGAAAATAAGTACACAATATTTAATAGCTTTGCGATAATCACGCATTTAAAGTGCAACGCAAAGAAAGTGCTGGATAAAAGCGTGTTGAATCACAATTAAAAATAATTTATTTTGAATTTAAATTTCCCTTTGCCCTAACGCGAGCATGCGTTACCCATGTAAAATTGCGATTTGTTTTAATACCAGTAAGAAGGGATTTTTACATAGAAGAACGAAGACTATTGTAATAATTTACAAAAGTACTTACGAATCTTTTAACATTATAGAGATACAAAGCCATAAGACGATGACCAAGTCAATTTATGTATCTTTTATTTTTTCTTTAGAAAAAAAAGATCAGTTTCCCAAACCCAAAAAAATATTATATTGAATTGATTGAACCCGGGACCTCCGTGGGACATACTCAGTTCTCAGCTTCTCAAATTACTGAGTAGAATTCAAGTAATTTTTTTATATATCTATGAACAAAGAATGCGTTATTCTTTAATATCTTAAAATTATAAACTAATTCATAAATTTTCAGGGAAAGATGGCCGATATGTACACAACGTTAAGTGCCACTCGATGTTATCTTTACAATGTGGCTAAAGCCTGCGACGAAGGCCATGTAAATAGCAAGGACTGCGCCGGAGTTATTTTATACAGCGCTGAGAAGTCTACACAAATAGCATTAGACGCTATACAGATATTAGGTATTACATGTTTACATAATTTAAATCACTGAGCCGTTACATACTTTCCAATATGCTATCAGGGACATTTAATACACCCTCTTTTTTAAGACATTTTAAGGTAAGTAGGTGCCCAGCCTTGTAAGGACTTTTATATATATGTGTGTATAGTTCCGACGGCAAGTCATAGACTCGGCTTCGTCTTCCGATCGACGTCTTGCGTCTAATAAACACAAACGAACATACTAACAACAACAACTGATCTATACGTTGAACATATAGGAACCGTTGAGATATACATATTTATTTATTTACTTCGTAATCCTAAAGCTAACAAAAATTATATATCATAACAATTACACTAAAAATATAGCCAGAGATGGAATACATAATTTACCTACAAAAAGGTTCAAAAATTTACAAAAGCCCACAAACAATGAAAATTATTCAATACATTTAACTTAGTGATATGTACCTAATTTGGCTGTTGTGTAAAAGTGAGGGTAAGTACGTGAAGGTGTCTATGTGTGGTGCGCATTATGCAGGGGATTTGCGGTAGGTATGTATGGATATTCCTAATACTCCTTTAAACCATATTCCGCGATACTACGGGATTTAAATAGATTTCTACGGACTCTGGCTTGTGGAAAGTGAATTTATAAATAGTAAAAATCATGGTTAGTTAACTATTTACTTAAAAAAAATAATTATGTTTCAGGGGGTAATGGTTATATTAATGACTACCCCACTGGCAGAATACTCAGAGATGCAAAACTATATGAAATTGGTGCTGGCACATCTGAAATTAGAAGAATGCTTATAGGACGAGCATTGAACACCGAATATAAATAAAAAATGTATTCTTAATAATAAATGTATTTTAAAATATCTTTTTCTGCTTTTTTATGGGTTACAATGTAAATAAAAACATTCTAGACTGTACAACTTAAATTTAATGACTAGGTTATTTCTTAGATTTAAGTCGTCATTTTTTTTTGACGGCTTAAATCTAGCCTTAAATTAAGCCATCATAAATTAACTACCTATTCGGCCTTCATAAATTTATGGATTGGAGTTATACCTAGATACCACTGAAAATGTTTAGAAAATGAAAAACAGCTTAATGTAGAAAGTTGCCAATACTTTTATTGTTTTTCGTAGTAATCTCCGTTCCTCTCTACACATCGTCGCATTCGATGGAACCACTGAAAAAAGCAGTGGGCCCATTCTTCCTTAGGGGTCTCTTCTATGGCATTTTCGTACGCTTTCACCGCATCTTCAGGGCTCGTAAAGCGAATACCTCGAATTTTATCTTTAGTTTTGGGTTCGTAGCAATATATCCAGCTTTCATTCATCACCTGTGACGATGTCAAATACTTACAGCATTTGAGTCACCGCCGTTGAACTTATCTAACATTTGGCGACACCAGTCCATGCGAAGATGTTTCTGGTCGTCGGTAAAAGTATGAAGAATCCATGTGGTAGAAAGCTTCCTGACGCCTAAATGTTCGTGTAATATTTTCACACGCTTTATATTAGCTTCACCTGTTTGTATGTTTGTATGTAACCGACTCCTTCGGACTCGATTTTGACCCACTTTTAACGGACAGATTTAATTCAAACTTTGCGCACCTGTCAAAGATCGATAACAATGCAATAATCCGAAAAAAAATTGAAAAAAAAAAAATTAACTAAAAAATAAATTATAATTAAAAAAAACTAAAAAACACGCTTTTAAAGCACATAAAACTAAAAAGTGAAAAATAATTCCTAATTTATGCTGAAAATGGTAATGAGCAAAAAATACTGGTATTATTGTGAAAAAGCGTGGGGCGCTCTGTGCCTATCGAGTTATACCAATGCCTAGGCTTGCCCGTATCTGCTGATAGGTCACTCTCTAATCTTCCTCTATCATGCGTCGCACAGCACTGATGTTATCTTCAGTAGTCGCTGTTAAAGGACGACCCTCACGCGGATCATCATTGAGATTGCTACGTCCACGGTTAAACTCATTACACCAATTGTAAATAGTGGAAAAAGATGGGGCTTCATTAAGAAATGCTAATCGCAGCCTACCATAGCTTTGTTGTTGAGTAAGCCCACAACGAAAGTCATAATAAATCATTGACCGAAAATTTTCTCGCGTTAGGTTCATTTTCACGTGTAACAAGAGTTTTAGATTCGCCGCCAATTCACAAAAACAAATGAACGTAATATACTACATTAGGTTACCAAAGAGTTCTAAAATTGAAGTTCAAAAAGGTTTTAGCAAAACTGTTTCAAACTGGCCCGTTCTAAACATTTTCAGTGTAATCCACATATTTTTGTATAAAAAGAACGGATGTTACAAATAATATTCATATAAGTTCCAACTAACAGTGTGAACGGCAAGTAACATCTCTTGATTTAACATTAAACTCACTAAATGTGTCAATTTGTTTCTTACTCTGTAGTACATACTATTTAACTTATACTCATATAACAACTCTCCAAGAATATGGACAGTTCCTTCAACTTCATTATATAGAGTTTACACTGTATTTTCATGGGCCGCTGTGACAAACAATTAATGTGCTATGTCCACCAAAAACTGACTGAAAAACTAATAGAAAGTGACTCAACAAAGTGCCACCATTTTGGTGGTATAAACAACATTTGTCCAGGTTTTAATACACAATAATAAGCTTTAGCATCTTGGTATTTAGGATACTTGTTCAAATCAGGACTCCTAGGATCTACTCTTGCCGTATTATCAAGAAGTTCACTATCATAAGGATATAAATTTTCTGAGTCCTTCGGCGAAAAGAGGTAAATTCTTTTTTCACCTACAACTTGAGCCAGCAAATTTTTGGTTGGATCATGATGCAAAGGAGACACGGTACCCTTTGGTCCATACCATGCCATAATATTGACACCATCGTCTGTTTCTGCAAAACTACAATATTCAGGCTCTATTATATCTTCATGTAGCTCTGGAATTTGCGCAAACAATGGATACTGCGCTAGATAACCTGTTGCTCCCTTATTTTGGTAAATATATGTTTCAATAAATTCTTTCATAGTTATTAGTTTTTGTGTCCACTCAGAGTCAGTATATTCCTTGCCAATTTCTATAGAAATTGTACGTAAACCAGCTAGTTTTATAAAATAATTGCTGTCAGTCCACTTGGACAAAGCCGGCCAGTGAGTCATACATTCTTCTAAAATTACAGGCTTCTCTTGCATTATATAGTCTGTATAAAATCTTTCCATACTAGGACATTTTATTAAATCAATATTAATAACACCTTCAGGGATTACTGTACAGCTAATACTTTCTTTTGAGTTTAAATTACCATTTTCAATAAAAATATCATTTTGCAAAATAAATGGATTTAATATTGAGGCACATTTTTGTAGTAATTGTGGTTCATTATGAATTAAACTTCCAAACATTATTCCAAAGTCAATAGTTTCTAATAAATCCTTTATAGCTGTGTCAGTAAGTTCAGAATAATTGTCTAGAAGTGCTATCAGTTTAAGGTATGTTGCTATAGTTATTGTTTGCCTTAAAAATAATCTCACATTTTTCCAGTTGCCTATGTTTATATTTTCATACATATAATCAATCACACCTTGTATTATAACAATAGAATCTCTAGATTTTAATGATTTATTACCTTGAAGAAAACCTTCTAATACAGAGTAAGAAGCCTGATCCAATTCTGAGACACAATCTAGCGAAGAAACTACTTTTGGCATAAAAGCAAATATCATTTCTCGAATTTCTAAAGATTTAGACATTGTTAGAAAAGAATGATAAACTGAAACCAATACAAATAAATTGAACTGTCCGACTTGTCACCTGGACGTGGTTACAAATGTTTATTGAAATATAGACTGTAATGATAAGTTATAATTGAAATTCTTCCAATATCAATATTAATAAAATATGTAAAATTCTTTCTTTGATGTTTACCTTTTTGATACTAGGAACTGTCAAAATTTTATCGGTATATTATGATAAATGACAACTTGTCAGAGAATTAAGACTATCGCCGTGCATACACCGTACACACTACACAATATTTATTTTATTTAAAATATCATTAGTCAGTATTCACACGCTCGTGATTCTATGTAACACTGGCGTGTTATGAATATGCATTTTTTTATTTTTGATACGCCTGTTATGTATAAAAGGACAATTAATGCCTAAATCAAATGGTACTGGGTAAACCAATATGAGACAAACAATCTTTTATATCGTTTAGCCAGTAGGAATTAACAACTGTGTCTAATGTCTTAAGGCCATTTGATTGTATATTTTAAGATTTGATTAATTCTCTATTTAGGCCTAGTTATATATGGTTTTCTTTATTTACTAACTCTATCATCTCTATATACTTAAACTTTAAGCCAAAATATGTTAATTTCACTTAGGTGTGTAAAGTAGCAAATTAAGGTTCATGCTGCCCGCTACACCCATTTCATGGTCTGTGGAAAATCACATGACTTCAATCACGACTTTTGGCCTAAAGGTCTAGATACCAGGCCATAAACTCCAAAAAAAAAATTCAATCACGTGACCACTGACCTGTCATACCGGGCATGTAATATCAGCTGTCGAGTGTCATGAATTCTTATTTTTATTTACAATGTTAGGGTTTTCGTAGATTGAAATAACTTTAATTTTAAGATTTTTAAAACGTTTTTCTCATAATGACGAAGTATAAACCTATAGAAGAAGATGTTGTGAAATGTAGCGTGTGACGTAATGGCTTTATTAGAAAAGATCTTTGTTACCAGATATCGAAAACAAAACAATGACAATCGAAACTTACGAAGCAGGTAAGAGACCTATATTAAATTTATTATGTTCTTTTGGGTTTGTGTAATTGCGCACATAACGACCCATCCTCAATCTTCGTGTATGGCTTCGCAAATATTTTCTTGTGAAATGACAACCAATCCATTCAGCGTCAGATTCTACAATAGCCTGCGATTCAAACTTCACTGTTCACGGTTGGCGAGTAGTCGGAAAGGGAAGCAGAAAACATGTGATAAGTGTGGTTAGTGCGGGGGGGACGTGTGGGCGAGTGGCGAGTGCTCGTTCAGTGATCACATCAGTCGTCATAGCGGAAGGGGGACGGCCGCTTCTCAATCAATGTTTACTTATTATTTACACGCGCGCCAGTACGATAGCACATTCCATACAATTCGGCCGATTACCTATTGTCTCCTCTTCATCGGAGTGCATTTATAGTGAAACTCCCATTGCATTTCCGGTATAAGTGCATGTGCAGTACTTGTATGTAACACTAGGAAACAGCTGTGAGATTATTGTAAACGACAATGTATTAAGATGATATTGAGGTAATTTAACTAGTTAAAACAAATTTTGCTATTTTAAAATTTACCATTAGTCTGGCTATACTCGCTATGCTCACTTAAGTATGGTGACAAGTAGATTTTAGATTTGTAATCTTATTTGGAACATATTACAAGAAGTAGAACATAGATATTGCACATATTTATATACAATTGAATTATGTGGTAAATATTAAACACTGCAACACTGAAATGTAGGTTTAAAGCACATGACTTGTATTGTGCAAGAGAAAGTTAAGTTGTATAATGTTGTATACTTATATGCATTGAATATACTTTCTTAATACTTAATACAACAAAAAAATGTTAAAGCTTGACTTATGATTTACACATTATAGTATTAGTTATTATTTCTTGCTATATTTATATTTTTGAATAATTATACTATTGACAGGCATACTTGTGTAAAGTGAAATAGTTTTATAGTGGTGGTGTAAAAATGAGTGTTTTTTTAATAGATCTTGTGAAGGAGCTATAGAGCAAGTGCGTTTACTGCTATATAAAGAGTGTGATAAGAGAGGGAAAAAAGTATTATTTGATTCATCAACAATAGAGAAATTATTAGCAAATAAAAATGACAAACCTGAGAGTGGCACTATACCCTGCATTTTGGAAGTGTCAGAAGGCTACACATATTTGGTAAGTAATGTTTATTGCCTTATAATATGTATAAAATAATTAATACCTAAGATTTTCCATGTTGACAACCCATAATTATTTCTGAGAAATGGAGTTTTAATGCTTAATTTTGTAACAAATATGAATCAGTCAGTTTAATATTTTATTATTATTATATATATATATCTTTAATACCTAATTATATTTAACTTTAATAAATATATTATTATTATACTTAAACGTAATTTGGGGATATTGAATTTGTTTAAAAAAAAAACAATTTGAATTCTAGGATCGAAACTTAGTTTAAAAATAATATATAAATCTAACAAATTTATTTTCCGAATTCCGTAATTTTTAAATTTAATCATAGTTTTTATTAACTATAAATTTAGTAAGAAAATATATATATATCTAAATATATAAAACAAAGTCATGTTAGTTACACCACTCATAACTCAAGATCGGCTGGACCGATGTCAGTTATCTCTTTTTTGGTGGATTCTTCTCCTCTCCGAATAGCAGAATAAGTAATAATATCGGATAAGTTATCGAATAACAATAAATAAATTAATTAATTTTACGAATGCAAACACCGTGTGGGTGCCATCTGTTGACAAAATTACGCACCATTTTACATCGAATTCGTGTCAGTTTAAGAAATTCCGATCTTGAAGTGAATGAGGAGATGCATAACCAGGCTTTGATCTTGATCGAAGACATGTGTTACCTCATCAAAAAAGTTGTATTAATGTTTTTTTTTTATGAAATCCTAAATAAATTATAACTAAAGTTTACACGATATTATAAGAATGTTAGGCGGAACGAAGTTAGCCGGGTCAGCTAGTATATATATATGTATATATATATAAGTCAGATTACCTATGCAACCATATCAACATGAAATGTCTTAAGAATCTCATCTCTTTACAAACACTAGCAGTTCTATTAGATTTACTATTGTGTAACTAGCCATTATTATCGGTAATATTCGATCTATGTGAACTCATACATATTTTTTTTAATTGAAAATAATTTAAATTTTAATTGCTACTATTTTAGTATGTGGATATCGTATTAACTGTTACGCCATAAAAATAACATACAATTGATCGTCACGAGACTCAATTCACAGTTTATTCGCACTACTCGTGTCTATATTTAGAACACTTTAGATGTTAGTCTTTTTGATTACAACGTAAATAGTGCTCACTTGGGACTGTAATTTTAGCTTCATTCATATTAATGAATGTAGCTCGCTAAACTAATGTAGTATGTACTATAATGCTTAGGCATTTATTAATTTTTATTTATGACTTCATATTCTTAAGACAAGCTGAATCAGCTTGAGCTTAATTTTAAATTATTGTCGAAATTGTAACGAATTTGACGATTATTTAAATGTTTGATGATGAAATATTTGCTCCAGTTCAAATATTTATGACTGCTAAAACTAAAACTTGGCGATTAAAAAGAGTGGCGGAGAGTTCCTTGCCAGTTCTTCTTGTCCGCTCGACGCTCTTGACTTGCGAACACATATTTTCTGTTGACTTTTATAAGTCTACTTGGTTACCTATATGTATAAAGTTATTATGAGTTTCATATCTAATTACGGCTGTTTCATGTAGTGCTGAAGGATGTATCGAATTCAGGAGCTAGACTATTCGTAGACTTTCCTAAAACACTAGATCACTTAGTGAATAAACACGCCGGTTTCGCGATTCAAAACCGGTTTCTATAATTCATCTCGACTCACGTGATGCGTGTTTGAAACGGTGATATTTTATGCGACTTCTAAGGTTAACGAAATGTCCGCATTATTGGCTTAGCCGGACTTTCTAAATATAGCTTTGATTATCTGTCTCATTGTCACGCTAATCTGTGGTAGAAGAAAATTTAGAACGTCATGATAGTACACATAGGCTGTGGGTACCTTTAAAATAAAAAGCTGAATCTGTCCTAAACTCTACTAATTGAAATCTACTTTCCACAATAGCGTCGCTAAGATAATATAAATCTTTATATATCTCTCATTCTACTGTACGTGTATGTCACTGAACTCTTAAATGGCTGGACCGATTTGAATGAAAATTTTTGTATGCGTTTGTGCGGCGCCCTGGGTGGTTTTAGATTCACAAATAAGCCAAGCAGATCGCGCTGCAGACGGTACTTTCATACTTTGTTTAATATCCTAATCGCTTGAAATATCATGCAGGACAAAGTCTGTCGGGTTCGCTAGTATAGTTACAAATATATATATATATACATCTACAAACTCAAACGTGATAAATATGTTAGTCTCTTTCACAGATTATTTTTTCAATTGATCTATTGATCAAAATCGGTGCAGTGTAACAATTGGTGAAGTATTTATTTAAATTAAACAAGCACAATTTGATTTTTGGGAAAATTGTTTCGGCTTTCACAGTCTGACATTGGCGAGTTCAGGGTTAGCAATGCTAGGACATTTTAAAATACGGGTTAACACAACGACGTCATCACTATGAGAAGAACAATATTAGAACAAGATTATTTTACTATGAGCTGTCTTGAATGTTAAGTATGGGGTTAAGGAAGTTGCCCAAGTATTGCTAAGTTTAAATATACCCTAAATTATTGTTTTTATGCACTATGCAAATGGTAACTCATTTACCCCGTTATATAAACTGACAGTACTGATCTGTCTCTTTTATCGGTATGTAGAAACTTAACAAGGTAAGAAAAATTGTATATAAACAACACTGCATCGTTTGAAAGTTAAACGAGCAGTGTTAACGATCTCTTATAAGGTCAAGGGAACTTGTAAATCAAAGTTCGAGATTTCTATGTCATCATTCGATATAATACTATTACTTGATGTAATATTCATTGTTTATGTATGAGCTTTAATGTATGTGAAAAAAAAAAAAAACAAAAGAATACTTTTATTCTAAAACATTAATATTTAAAAGAAAGTATTGTCAAGTGAATATAACGAAGTTAAGTCTCTAATATATTAGCGTTTGTCTGGGATTTTTTTTATTAAAATTTAGTTTTTTCCCTTTTAGTATAAAGGCCCGGCAGCTGATGCGGGCTTACTCGGTGAGATGATGTTCGGAGCTGTGGCCATGAACTGCAAGAGTGTCTCATTGAAAATTCACATCATGGATGACCCTAAAAGGTTTGTATTACTTGATTTATAAATTTGACATTACGAAGTTAAGGACCTCAAGACTAATAAATAATTTAAAAGTAAACTAATTGACTTTTTTTTTTTTTTTTATAATTTTATGGCCTGGTAACGAGACCTTTAAGCCAAGTCTTATTTTCGGTCACTAAATTTCACTTATTTTCCTTCATTTAATTTCACATGTTATTCTTATTCCAACATTCCACTACTAATTTACTAAAAAGGATATTTAACATAAGAAAGTGTCCAATAACAATACTTACACTCTCTATTAAGGGGAAGACACTCTGTTCGTACTTAAGATTCTAACATACGAAATGTATAATAGTTATTACGGTAGAGAAATAATTCTCTCTAATATGTTTTTTGGAAGCAGTGTTGGCTTAGTGGCTACAGCGTTCGACTCTCTTCCCTGAGCTCGTAGGTTCGATCCCCGGCTGTGCACCAATGGGACTTTCTATGTGCGCATTTAACATTCACTCGAACAACACTCGTTTTTTTAACTAACCGATATATAGACTGTTGTGTCCGTAACAAAAATGAATAAAAACGATATAAGTCTATTATTAATAACATTGGTATCTGGGGGATTGGCTCAGCCAAACATGAGAGAAAAAGCGTACCTACGGACGTACTATCCTTTTCGCGAAACAGTTCAGGCCTTTTTCAAATATAACTCCATTGTGGATAAATTTAATGCCAAGCAGGCATTGTATAATCACGGTATATTTCTTATTTCATTTAATTTGAAACAGTTGTTTAAGAATTATAACTAGTCAAAGTTTTTTATGTCTGTTACTTGTTCCTACATTAAAAGAAGAAGCGAATTCTACGTAAATGTACAATAAAATAGGTATTTTCTGTATCACTCTCGTGTCTCTTTCGAAACAAAACCTTAACTAATCAAGGCTTATAATGCGTTTATTAAGATATTTTTACATGTATAGGTCTACATTGAATATTGAACACGCAAAACTGACTATAGTTGGTCAAAACCAGATAACGTTAGAATTAGGTAATAACAAGTGATTGAGACAATAATTTAGTATTACATCGTTTACGGAGTAAATTTATGTTTTAATTAACACAATGATTTTGATGTCGTTGTATTAATTATTTAACGTATTACAAAGCTTTATATTGTCACAAACTATTCTTGGCCTGTAAGAGCGTCGCTTTTGTGTATTGCCAGTAAATAAAACTAACCATTATAAGGGGAATAATTTGAAGTCATGCAGGCTAACTTAATAATTTGTTGAAATGTCTTAATAAAACAATGCATACTAGTATCTAGAAAAACATTTCTAGGCTTAAATAAATGTGACACAAACTTAGGAACAACTGATATGATAGATTTTGTTACCTCTACAATTAATATAATATCTTTTAAGATAGCAATCAAAACTGTTCGATAATTAAACCTTGCCATTGAAATTAATAATGCAAGAAATAAAAATAAATACCGTTTAGTTGTATGTTTATTAGATGTTGGTTATTGTACGCACCAAGAAATTACAGAAAATTAACAATGTAATTCTGACATTTCAAAATGGCGACGATAGTACGAATTTCAGCCTGTCAAGAAGTTTGTGGCACTATATTTAGATTTATTAATTAGCAGCAACGAAAAAAACAGTTTTGCCAACGGTATTGACTTGTCTCTTTCAGTAAAATTGTGTTTATTATGTGATGAAAAGAGACAAATCACCGCTCAGGTCTCATACATATTATAAGTTCTCTGACCTGACAAATTTATATATAAAGTAACTTTATTTCTGATTGCATAGTCATATTATTGAAGTGAAACTTCTTTATCGAGGTTGGAAAAAAATTTAGTGTAACATTTTTTCGTTACGCGTCACATTTTTCGGTTACGCGCCATGTTGCTTTTTGAAGTCAAACTTCTTTATCGGCGTTGGAATGAAACTTCTTTATCGACGTATGGGAGAAATTTTGTAGCAAATCGTCACGTTTTTCAATGATAGTAATAATTCTATTACAATTAATGAAATTCTATAATAATCTTCGTAGTAATAAGGTAAAATGAAATATTTGTATTCATGTCTATGATAATAAAAGCCTTTTGTTAAACTTTATCTAATTTAACGAATTTCTGTAAAGTTGCATATAGTAGATCATTTTTCGAAAAATAAGATCATAAAGAAGTTTCACTTCTTACGTGTGTACACCTAGTACACGCACAATTTATTTTTACATAAGGAACTTTTATAATACGACAGAAATGCCGTCAGACAGCCGTCCTAATTTTAGTCTTCTAGGCTCATTCAGATTTTTAATGTCCTTTTAAATGGATTAAACACGGATATATTTCAAATTTTATACGGTTTTATTATTTAATTGCAACCCTCATACTTAATAGAGCTCTTCTAATTATTTATGGACATTCCATATACACTCAAAATCTGTTATAACGACATCGAAGGGACTACTCATATTTGATCGTAAAAACCGATAGTTGTAACAGCCGATGACGTTGTTAAGTACCTAATACAATAGAATTCAGCCGGGACCTTTGATTTTGGTCAATATACCGCAACTTACCGGTTCCTACCGGTACCCGCATTCTAAACGATGTCGCCGTAAACGGTTTTGACTATGTATATTCATATATCTCCTTCTCTATCGACATCTTTATATGTTCGCAGTGAGGTCACAGTATCGATATTGTGTGTATTATATGTTTAATATTATATTTTTTATTTTCTATATTATCCTATTGGCATTATTTTTATCTTATATTACAGTTCTGTAAGGATAATGTATGTATTTTTGTGAATAATTAGACATAGACTTATTAAATTATAGAAACACAATTGGTACTTGCAACCAAAGTCATCAATAGATTGTCTTAACTGTACGTAATAATATTATCCTTCAAATGCTTATCGTGTTGCAGTGGTTTGACCTTATAATAATAATTATTAATTGATTAGTAGATTAATAATAATTATAATTATCAACAGATTTTGTTTAATTTATGTATTTTTGCGTTACTTTCATAGCGTGCCTTTTAACACCGATTTTCACTAATGAGTTCTGGGATCTATGATATACTTGATATACACTTTGCGTTATTGTTTTTTTTATATAAAATACCTTTATTTTAAAAACTTATTGAGGTAATGTAATTTAAATGCCAATGGCAATTATTATTTTTTTAAAACAGGGGCCAAACGGGCAGGACGCTCATCTATGGTTAGGTAATTCCGCCGCCCATGGACACTCCCATTGCTAGAAGACTCGCAAGTGTTGCCCTCCTTTTAAGAATTGGTACGCAAAGAGCGTTGAAGTTCTTGAAGGACCCTAAGTCGAATTGGTTCGGAAATACTTCAGTGGGCAGCTGGTTTCGTACTGCCTAAAAAACGCTAATATTCTAGAATGTCTTAAAAGGTTTATAGATATTTTATCTCAAAATAGATGTGATTACATTTAAACTAGTAATCTTTTTGTGCATTCACCGAATACCCCCAGTATTAGGTAATATGTATTTGCTTATTCTCGATGGTGTTGAGTGCACTCTTCACAGTATTTAGCAAGTTAGTAATAAAATGCTTTCTCGTATGTTTGGATTGGATTGATAAAAGTGTTTAAAGGATTTCGAACATTTGGTACTTTTAGCATACAATGAAGCTCCGGATACAAACTACATAACAATTGTTTAGTTAATTTTTTTTACGACGAATTCGTGATTAAATCAAGCTTCGACATTAGGCCTTATTACAAAACGTAGGCTATAGGTAGTATATATTTATTTCATGGTAAAAAGTAAAAACATAGTAACAGCATATACGTTGCTTATATCTTTAATACGTGTTTTAAGGGGAGTCTAGTTTCGGGTATGATTCGAAATGAGACTTAGTGCGAACTATGACTCGTTCTTCTAGAAGAACCCCTGTATAGACCCCCCTCCAGATGCCGCACTGCCCGATTTGGATCGTCGTTTGTAAAAACAGCAAAGGAACGGACCTCCCCCTCTCCCATCTTCCCTAGCCAGTTTAATATGGGTTCAATTTAGCAGCAGTTAAATAGGCCCTCCAATAGGCCGCATCTCACTTACCATCAGGTTGTAGCCAAACGTCTCTCCAGTTCTGTATCAAAAAGAAAATATAATCTAAACCTTATGAAACTGATTAATTGTTTGATTCAAAGCGTTCACGAACTCATAGATTGTCGAGGAATGCATAATCTAAAATCACGCTATGTCAGAATTTTACGTGTTAAACCGGGATATAGTTATAATAATTTATGTATTGTAATTACAAGTAATGATAGTAACGAACATCCTCGCTAACTAAGTATTTTTATTTACCAACACAAGGTGAAAGGCGAATTGTGCAATAAGCACGTGATGTTCACGGATGTTGCAAAATAATTGAAGAATTGTCCTTCGTTTTCACTTGACTTCGTACTTAGTTTACGGCTCATTATGCTATCCGTTATTTATATCCTTGCTAGCTGCCCCCACGAACTTCGTTTCTCCTTAAATATGATTTTAATAAGCCTACCTTTTTAGTACATACCAACGTTCTCAAAATGTTCCATCATTTTGCTATGCTACCCCAGAGACTGATCGGTTTTCTGGAAATAAAACTTTTTGGGTAACTAACTGTAAAAATTCTCTATATAAACCGCTGAGTTCAAGTCATAAGTTTTTAATTAACAAATAAAAAATTGGGGTTGACAGAAGGGGTGAAAATTTAGTGTTATATGTATTTTTGTATGCTGTATCATAAAAATTTGTCTAAAAAATAAAAAATTTAGGGTGATGAAAAATAGATGTCCAATTCGCAGACCTAACCGATATGCACACAAAGGTAACAGTTTTGAATACCATCGCACTTTTTTGACGATACTAATTATTTAGGAGTCTCGGAGGACCTTCATTGGAACACCTCCAAGTGAGTTTTGCTCCGGAAACGCGTCAAAAATTTTATAAAGATTTATAAAGTAAACTTTGCACTGTAAAACTAATTACCGCTAGTCTAGCATAAACCACATTCAAAATGGCCGATTAAGTTTATAAAATTAATAGGGATGTGAAAAATAATCGATTTTTTTAAAAGTGAAAATCGATTTTTGTATTCAATTTTAATATTAAAAATAATTGAAAATTCGGCGACCAAATATTCATATACTAACTCTAACCTAACCAATCTAAATAATATTTTTTTTTGTGGACAGCTCCGATCTAAATAGTAATTGTTTATTCAAGCCTCGGCTTCTCGGCATCCTGGTCGCCTTCGGCGACCAAATATTCATATACTAACTCTAACCTAACCAATCTAAATAATATTTTTTTTTGTGGACAGCTCCGATCTAAATAGTAATTGTTTATTCAAGCCTCGGCTTCTCGGCGTCCTGGTCGCCTTCGGCGACCAAATATTCATATACTAACTCTAACCTAACCAATCTAAATAATATTTTTTTTTGTGGACAGCTCCGATCTAAATAGTAATTGTTTATTCAAGCCTCGGCTTCTCGGCGTCCTGGTCGCCTTCGGCGACCAAATATTCATATACTAACTCTAACCTAACCAATCTAAATAATATTTTTTTTTTGTGGACAGCTCCGGCGCTCGGGAAATGCAGCCCCTCCACCCTTGCGTACCAAAGCACAGGCATTTTATTCAAGCCTCCGCAACCTCGGCTTTTTGGTCGCCTTCGGCGACCAGCTTCAGCCGCTACAGCTTTCATAATGCCTGTGCTTTGTTACAGCGGGTGGGGGCTGCTCTTCCTCCGCGCCTCCGATTATTTATATACACTCTAGGGGTAAGACAGACAAGACCACGTGGATAGTGGGGTGCTCTGATTCGGTTTTGGGTACTTTTTGGATATTAAAGTAAACACTTTATTCTAGTAAAAATTAAATAATATAGAAAGTTGCAAACAATGAAATACAAGTACTAATTAGAAAATACAGACGAGTAGGTATCGATAATTTCAAAAAATTTCGGAACCCTATAATCTATCAACACGAAATTAGGTTAATTTCAATGTTGATTATTCTATAACTTTAAATTTCAAAAATGAGGAAATAATCGATAAATAAATAAAACGATTATTAACAATCGATAAATTAAAAACACGATTTTTTTTAAGTGAACGTCACATCACTTATAACCAATAGAAAAGTAGAAAATGGCGGATTGTTTACAAATTTTAATACATTACACAAAACTTTAAATTTTTTATAAAAATATTTAGACGCGTTTCCGGAGCAAAACTCACTTGGAGGTGTTCCAATGAAGGTCCCCGGACACTCCTAGATAATTAGTATCGTCAAAAAGTGCGGTGGTATTTAACACCCAACCCCACACAAAATTTCACGAAAATCAAGCGAGCCATTTCGGAGTAGTTTAATTTAAAACACCTTGACACGAGAATTTTATATATTAGATTTATTCTGTTAACGTTAACGTTAGAGGATGATTGATTTGAAAAAAGGGTGTGTTGCAGTACAGAGATATATATATTTAAAAAAAAACAGTAGCGCTATAACCTCCTCACAAATTCATGACTTTATAAGCGATTTATATTGTGCATTCATAAAATGACAATTCTAAGCTTTGATCGCACGACCTCAGGGTAGACAGCCGCTGGCATAGCCACTAGGCTGACTGTTCATTCTTATTTTTCTATGATCCCTTATTCATAAATACTTATTTGGTTTAGTACTGTTTTAAGTAAATTTTCTTTCTCTTTCTGATAATTTTACGCTTTGATGATTTTTTTGGGTTAAAGTCGCTGTAGATGCAATAAGCTTAAAAGCTGTTTACTGTACTAACATAAATAATTGTAAAGATAAAATAACTGTGACAACTCAGTTATATAAAATCAGTCTTCAAAAAAACTTGAACTTCTCAACTCAGCATTCCGATGGAGACAGAATGCGCGTAGTACTTGTCCTAATAACCTAATCGAATGTTTGGTAAACCGTTTAATTAGACATTGGATTTGAAAGGGGTACAAATGTGGTATGAAATACATTGCCATACAGATCTATGTAGCTTTGCTTAGTGGGAAAATTGCACAGTAACACAGATTAATGTGTATTTTATGTCTCAAACTCATAGTCGTTAAGAGTTAACGTTTACTTAAGTCATGAATATGTAATTTGATAATCTAACCCCAATCTAAAATAAGTCTTACTGACTCTACACTTCCTATCAATCTTTAACGTATCATTTTAACAATACATTATCTAACATTTGCACGAGTATATAATAAGAATAGGTATTGAAATAACTTTGCCCAAACCCCATCAGATAACCACAAATTAGCACGCTATTAGCAGAATGTGCGAACAAAATCACATTGTACCTACAGCACATTCCTGCAAATAATATTATTAAATATATTCGTCAAATATAAAATGTCTTTTTTTAGGCTGATGTGCACAAAGATATTCTGTGTACCAACAACAAGAAGAACAAGTGGCAAGTCGGATATAAATGGGAATATCAGTGATATAAACTCTTCTTCGGCATTAAATGTACCAACGAAGGAGGGAATGTCCTTGAGCTTCTCAATTGATCGTGGTGATTCAGGTCAGTTACTAAAAATAAACTAGACAGTGCCTCATATTTTGACGACAAGCCGAAATCGGGTGATAGGATAGGAAAATAACAGAAAACACTAGAATATTCATAAAAAAAACTGTCACGTATTTTTTAAATTATTGCCATTCGAATAATATAATTATATGCACCCTGTAATGTTCTATTATTACATTAAATTATCATAAATGGGAAATTATGAAAAAAGATGGCGCATTAAGTCCGAATTCCAATGTAATATAATATATATAATAAAGGTACGAATTCAAATTAGAAGGCTTTAACTGTAATTTGATTTCAATTAAAAAGATATTCCCTATTCATACTTTTTCCGTTTCCGTAATTGGTTAACATATTCGACGGAACAGTGGGCTGTCTCTAAAAAACTGCAATGACGCTGAAAGGTTCAAAAGTCAAATGTCAATAAACGTGTAGATCGATGCCACAGTATCTAATAAGCCGGGGACTTAGGACTAAAATAAAATATATCCACTTTCTGTTTTCTTCATATTTATTATCACAAAAGTCAAAAATTATTTCATCATATAGGTAACACAATGTACACATTAAATGCTTCTAATTTTACACTTACTGCCAGTTCTCAAATCAAGGGCGCAGAACGAAAGAGAAGAACTGGCAATACACTCTCCGTCACTCTTTTAATCGCCAAGTTTTTTGTTTTACACAACGTTTGTAAGGAGCTGCAACCATTACACCATGTTCCACATGACATCTTAAGTGATAAGTAATAATAAAATAAATTAAAAACATACATTCATACATTCTCGTGGGAACAACACGCAAATACATACATAGTCGAAATAACTAACATACACGAATTCAAGTACGACCAGTCACCACAAGTTCTATGTAGATTTTGGAACTTTAAAAACTTTAATGCAATTAAAATAATATATTTGTTTAAAAGTAATCTTACAGCTGCATATATCCAGATTATAAAAGAAAAACAGGTTACAGTGTTAAACAAAATATACGAAACAGAAAAAGACAATTAAGTACATGAATAGGTAAAAAAACTTAAATTAAACATTAAACAAACTACAGCTTAATATTTTAAAGAAAATGAATTGTTACCACTGCTTAATAAAGTCAAACTGTTTTCGCTTCTTAAAATATTTCCTGACATCTTTGGTAAGGTGGAAAATCTTCCCATCTTCATAATTTGTGTGATAGTTATTAAATCCAAAAAATTTAAACAGTCCTTTGCTCCAAACTCCATTGATCAGTTGATAAATAGTTATTTATATGTAGGTCGCGGTATTCAGTTTTAATTGTGGTTACTGGTTTGACAATTAAGGTCAGACCACACTTATTGCGTAACACATTAAATATTTCTGTAATGTAAAAACTGATGAAGAGTTGGCCTCATCCACCAATGGAATTTCTCAGTGCGCATTTAACAGTCGAACGGTGAAGGAAAACTCACAAACCGGCTTGCCTAAGACCCAAAAAAGCGTGTGTCAGGCACAGGAGGATGATCACCTACTTGCTGATCAATTTGTGTGGTATGGTCACGTGATAAAGTGTGAGCTAATGTAATTCCCAAGTAAATTCGTTAGTCAGGCCTATCTAAAATTTCTTTTTGTCGCAAGCTCCTTTGCCCCCGGCCATGATGGACCATAAGTTAAAATACGACCTAAGACACCGCTTAAACCTAAAGAGACGGTATATGTTACAAACTCTTTTATCTAAAATGAATGACAATTTAGTTAAATATAAATGTTATAAAAAAAATTAAAATACACACAAAATACTAGAAAAATACCAGAAATTTTTGTCAAGCAGAAAAAATCAAAAATTACCAGCAAAACAGCGGATTAGGTTCGAGATAGGCACTTAACAATGCTTTCTTTAAAACCCATCAGCCCACTATCGAATATATCCAGCTCCGGATAAGTACTCTTTAATCCGAGGTGTCAGAACTCCTAAGTTGGTTTTTGCAGACGGAATTTGGAAAATTCTGCTGATTTTAGACCTTTCGCTTTGTAGCATCCTTACAATGAAATCTATATTCACAGGTTTCTATGGCGATCAGTCTTCATACAGCACATTGGGGTCGAATATAGATTTCTATCCGGTAATGGAAAATTGGGATGGAAATACCCAAGAATATTCGTTTTCATGTAAGTATCTTTACGGTTTATCTAAGCCATTTACCCTTGTATATATAGAATTGAACTTTGGCTGGCTCTGGTTTATATATCCAAAATACTAGTCGTAAATTCTACACATCGGTCTGGATAGATAATTAAGAATGAAAGTAAGAAAACATTTATTTGATTAGGGCATACATAATAAAAGAAATGCTAGCACAATCTCTTCCATAAAAGTAAACAATATACCCACTCAGCTTTAAATTGATTTCTAACACTGATTTTTGGTGGGCTCATACTATCAGTGATAGCTATACAGCAACAAAAGTGTTATTAATAAAAAATAATTTAAAATAATTACAAACAATACACTAGACAATGCAACTAAATTCCCAAGCTAGCCCAGGCATTGTAAAATGTTTGACCTTAAACAAAAGGTATTAAAAGAGCACGTAGACCTCGAAAGAGCACGTAGCTGTCTCTCCTACTACTATTGCGGCTTGTATTACAAAGGAGTATTAGTTATGATGTATGTATCTATTTATATTTTCTATATATTGAAAGCGAACACTCCTTGGAGAGGAAGAATTCTCCACTGAAGTATTTACGAACCAATTCAAATTAGGGTCCTTCAAGAAAAAATGCCGTCAACGCACTCTCGAGAGCTTTGGCATTGAGTGTATAGACACTCCATGCCCGATGTTAAGTGATACTGCCGCCCCTATGGGCCCCTATGGTGAGCCTCCTGCCCGTTTGCCTCCTGTTCTAAAAAAAAAAAGTTGGGACACGTGCACTGAATGGCAGACGACTCCAAAGTCTTCACTGAACTCACAACCTGATGGCAAGAGAAAACCCGGTAGACCGTGGCTGCATTAGTGGGGTGTAGTTGTCAAGGACCTCGAAATAGGTGTTCGAGGTTAGACGCAAGAAGCACGAAATAGTTTCCGATGGCGAAATATACTCGAGGAAGCTAAGGCGCACATGGGGCTGTATAGCCATTGATGATGATATACTGAAAGCGCATTCTGCACTTGTGGGGAGAATATAAAACGACTCTTACGATTGTGATTAGTCAGCAGCATCTCTTAATACGTTAATTACGTCCGTTTACCAAATAGCACTGAACTTTCTTATCACAGGAGAACACTACACTGAGTTTATTGTATAAATAGTCGTGTGATTTCCCAGCGTCCAGCATGATAAGCTCAAGTAGCAGCTTGCGCAGGCGCACGTCACAGAGTCTAGCGACGCGATTCGATCTCTCTACGTCACTGCGGGTGCCTACTATTTCCACGATTTCCACTGATTCACAGGTAAGCGATTTCTATGACTACATTTTCTTACCCGCTTTTTCTTCCCATATTTTTTTTGTATTATTCAATAATTCGTACCATGCGTTTATATTTTGAGAGATATATTAAATATTGAAGATCTCTCTATGTCTGCCAATCTCTTTCTCTCTATGTCTCTGTCTCTTTCTCATCAACAGACTCATTTCATATTAGATTTAAAAATTCTGTTTTATTTTAATTCATACAAACCTATTCCTGACAATACCGATCGTGAAAAAAAGAAAATTATCTAGTTACATACATTTCGGCAATTCATTATATTATGTATATAAAATATATATAACTTATTATTAGAATAATATAAATGATCTAGTATTCTATTATATGTATGTTTCACGATGATACTATGACTGACGTAACATTCTTTTTTTACGCAATAATTTTCCTTCCTTATGTGCCCTTAATTAAAACCGTATTAAGCCTAAATAAATCAACATCTGATATATTCCAATTTCTATACTATGTTATGGTTATTGTAGAAAAAGTTAGCCATATATTATATTTATTTATTAAAAACGATACGCGGCAACTACGTTTATTTACTTAGCCTACCTTTTTAGGAACTACATACCAACATATTGAACATTTTTTTAGAGGTTATTCTTTACAGAGCTTTTCCACAATGAAAACCTAAGTACTAAATAACCGGCAAATTTTACCGGCTTTACTTCTTAGCTGGGTTTTGTTTTGTATTCTTTTCTAAAAACTGTCTCAATATTGTATAAATAAGGGAAGTAGCGAGTCAACCCCAACACAAGTGTCTCTGACTACTTACGGAGGCTGTCTCAACTCATGTATTTAATGTAAAATTTGAGACACAATAAACATTTTTGATTTAAAAAAAATGTTCATTTTTTATATTTTTCAAATTTTTCTCTATAAAACCCTTCCTCAGAATTCAAGGAATAAAAAAAAACTTGTATTGGTCTAACCGGCTTCGAGTTTTGAGCTTAGCAACAACATCTTTGCGATTCATTTTTACTAAGATATTTTTTTTATCTGATGTTCATATTTAAAATTATTTAAAATTTAACGTAGAATTATTTTCGCTAATGAAAGGACACGTGTTATAGAAAATTCTTCTTTGTAACAAATATTCCGTTACTTCGACGCTTACCGAATATTCAAAAGCCGACACGATTTATTTACTTAACAGGCTTTTATTTATCTCCTATCAATGCACTCGTGATTTGTCACATGAATGACCGTATATTCTCAGTCATGTGATATTCCTATCGCTATAAAATATTAACTCCTGTAATTGCGTTAATTCCAATGTTTACAACTCTGTCAATTCTATTAATAAAATCTCAAAAATAGTAACTTTTAATACACATGAGCCGTGGCCTGGCTTGTGTGTGCTACAGTCATTGCCGTAGGGACCTACACCAACTGTGCACCAATTGACTTTTCTTTATTAGCATTAAGGCCCTATCCCAGCACGCTGTGTCAGTGTCTCGGTGTGGACTGCGGTGCGCAGTGGAGAGCTAGAGCACTGAGGCACGCCGGCCCGTAAAAATAACAATGAGTTATGTAAAACATTAAATTAATTTAATTTTATATTTGATAATAAATTTTTTTTACCGCGAACATCTTTCAGACCGCTAGTTAAACGGCGCCGTTTAGTTACAAGGCTTGGCTGTTAATTAAACGGCTAATTAAGCTATTTGGCTGCGACATATACATGAATACATTTTGTATAAATCAAAATTGATAACAAACAAATATTTAGTCATTATTTTGATTGCAACCGACACAGAAAATAATAAGCTATTAGAATCAAAATCTCTTTGTGGATGAATGATAAATATTGACGTTAATTATACACAGGCAAGCCGGTTTCCTCACGATGTTTTCCTTCACCGTACGAGCGAGTGTAAAATGAACAGAAAGTCTTTTGTCCGAGACTGCTCTTTTATAGCATATAATATATCCAAAAATATGAAGGAGGTTTGCAAGTGCATTGCCGGCCTTTTAGGTACACTCTTCTCTTGAAGGCCGGTTCTGGTGCGATAAAGTGGTGGTGCGCGGCTGGAAGTGTCTTGGACTCTGTCGTGGAACGCCAGACGTCAAGTTGGAAGGGATGGAATTTTGCATGCAGTCTTGACGTCCGATGATGTAATTTAGCCGAGGAATTCTTCTCCTTGGAGATGCAGAGAGAGCATACCAGTTCTATATACATATATTCTATTCTCAATATATAAGGTCAATCAAAACGAATAGGATATGTTATTATTTACAATCTTTATATATATATAAAATTCTCGTATGTTAGTTCCCATACTCCTCCGAAACAGCTTGACCGATTCTTATGATTTTTTTAATGCATATTCAGTAAGTCTGAGAATCGGCTACTATGTATCTTTCAAACCCCTAAGTGATAAAGGATGTCCACACCAATTTTTTTTTATTTTTTTAGACAATTTTTTTTTTGTTTTTATTTTTTATCATATAGCATACAAAAATACAAACAACCCCTAATTTTCACCCCTTTACGACAACCAACCCCTATTTTTTATTATTGTAAATAGTTATTTTTATTGAACTAAAAAAATGTGTCCTAGAAATAATATAAGTACGTGGCAAAACAAACGTTTTCCGAGTCAGTTAGTTTAAATATATAATTCTTACTAAATGAGGCCTTTACTACTACATACCTTATAAAAAATAAAAATAATTATGATGATATTATTCTAACGTAACACAGCAATACCTCTCCAGACCAGTCAAGTCAAGTTTAATATTTTCACAGGTATACAGTAATAGTTCAAGTGGTACGAATGAGAGCCTCGCTTCGTGTCAGCCATCAAGAAGACGGAAACTGGGCCTCGCGTTGCTGATCACAGTATCTGAGAGTGCTGATGTGTGAGTAATATATACATAAACAAATAGATGTCTTATTATCCAAGGGCGTCAAGAGCAGAAGAGATGGAACGGGCTAATATAGAAGCGCGGTATAGTACAGAACGGTCATAATGTCTATGTCAGAAGTGGTTGTTAAATAATTGTTTTTTTTTTAATAGTAATAATTGTATTTTATGCCAAAAACCTATCTCAGGCTCCTGATGTGTTGAGAAGTGTATCAATATCGAGATCTATTTCAATTATTTACATACATATAAAAATTATTAATTTATGAAAAGTCAATACAAAATTACAATATTTTATTTAACATATTGCATATAGAAGATTTGTCTAAAACTCGTATATATCATTTATAATTCATACATTTTTTTAAAAAAGCTTTTAAGAGCTTTTGATAGAGCTTAGCCTGCTCGTTGTACACCTGTGTCATGTATCATTTGCTGTAAGTGCAATTGAATAATTATTGGCAACCAAATAACATATGCCTCCTGTAGTGAAAGCTGTATTTCAAGAGCCCGTAGATTCCCAGTTACAATCAAAAATTCAAAAAATCTTTGGGAATAAACAATATGGCAATTATGGCAAAAAAAACAGATTATAGCTGTTGTAAACAAGATTATAACATTAATACAAAGATAATAAAAGATATTATGTTTTGTAGCTAATTTCTCAATTAAATTGCATTAAATGGTTATTGTACGTGGTTTATTGGGTAGGTCAGGGTTGGCTGCTATTCCAATAGTTTAAATTAATAAAAGAGATTTGGCTTGTTTCTAAACAAAAATGTGTGATACAAGCTATAACTATATATAGAATGGTTTATCAATAGAAGTGAATGTTATCTTTAATATTGAATAAAACAAAAAATTATCTAGAAACGAAAGTATTGTCTTCATCATATGATAATACATATATGTGGCTTCAACGTGTGACTTTCAATCTTTGAGGTCATAACTTCGATCCCCGGCTGTGGACCAATGGACTTTCGGTCTATGTGCGCATCTACTCGACGACGGAGAGAAGGATGATCACATACTTGTCTATGAATTAAATTGGTTGACCAAACGGATGCAGTCTGCGGCCATGACCCATATAGGGTTGGCGCTGCTGGATTATTATTTAATAAAAATATATATACGCAAGTATCAAACAATAAAATATTTTTTCTTTAAAATACAAAAATATGGGCATAAAACGTCCGCTTCTTAATAATTTTAAATACGAAATAGTACATTAATTAAGAGCCGTATTAGTAGTTAGGCTTGCGTGTAGTCTGAATTTGTGCGTTGAAATCTGGCTGTGCACCAATTTTTCTTTCTTTGTCTGTCGGTACTCGAAAGAAATATCATGTCTGGCACGTCTTAGGTTTATTTAATGTCGAGACCTAGCGAACCGTGACTCGTATGTTGACATTTAATACATTTTTGTTATACGGACCTAGCCCTTGTAATATAATAATTGATTATTATATTTATTTATTATACATAAGTATAATTATTAAACAATTAAAAGCGTTTTAAAGCCCTCAAAAGGCTTTAAAACTCTTTTAATATGAGTCGTTCTCGAAAAATATATAATCGATATAACTAATCTTTCTCGTGCTCCTATTTCACAATGCCTCCTGCTGATAGAGGACAAATCTTTGTTTTTAATTTATTTTATTATTATTTATTGCTTATGATGTCATGTGGAACATGGTATAATAGTTGCAGGTCCGTACAAACATTGTGTAAAACAAAAAACTTGGCGATTATAAAGAGTGGCGGAGAGTTCTTCTCTTCCGTTCTACGCCCTTGATTTGAGAACTGGCAGTAAATGTAAAATTAGAAGCATTTAATATATATTTCTTTTTTGACGTTCATAAGTGTACATTGTGTTACCAAATGATTTTGATATAAATACTCTCAAGCCATATAATAAAATTCCTCGCGGGCGTGTCGAGAAATATATTTATGAATGAGTAGGTATGTACTAAAGACGTCACAAGACATGTGACTGTGAGTCAAGCGCTGTTTACAATATATAAGCGTGTGAAAAAAGAATTTGTGAATTTATTAATAGTACGTCCGATTGTGACGTTGCTAAGTGATTTGTCACGAGGTTGAGATGCGTTAGAAGTGTCATATGCAATTTTAATAATGTTGATATTTTTATTACGTATACGGAACACATGTACGTGCGGAAACTAAGTTCACTTCGTATACGTATTTCAATGTAACGAACAGTTTTATTTATTAAGTAACATTACTCGTATTATTATCTCTTGTGATGAAAACACAAGTGACTGCACGACTACACACACTGACGCACCTCACGGACAGACCCTTCTACGCCGGGACAACTTTTAAAGCGACGATGTGTAAATTGATAAGGCCGCCAGTTGCTCTCATTTTTATTTAATTATGTCAATTGTACTATATTAATGTATATGCAACGAAGTGTTAATAAATAAATAAATTACCCAACAATATAAAAAATATAAAAAAAGATATAGTAATTCTTTAATTCTGCAAAATAAAATATGTAGTTTGCTATTAATAGAGGCGGAGAGTTTCTGATAAGTTCTTCTTGTGTACTTAATTTGAGGGTTGACAGTAAATTTAAATAGCTATATATGAATATTTTGACTTTGACTTAGCGCAGCTATGCGTGTGGTTCTCAACATAAATTTCTTTGTTTTTTTTCGTATTGTGTGGATATATTTCGGGCGGAGATCAGCACGTCTATTCTAGCACACAAATAAAAATTAGAGGTTTATTGTTGCGCTACGATGTGTTTGAAAATGCACAACAAGATACCACCTTCCATATAACTTTATGACTTCAGATGGCACTGCAAAAATCCATACCGATCTATTTATATGTAATTGTAGAAATCTCAATATCTTGGATCAGTGCGGCACAAAAACGCAGCATTGTATTTTTAATATAATTTGTATTAAAATAATAAACAGGGGACAAATGGAGGCTCATCTGATGTTAAGTGATACCGCCGCCTATAGACACTCACATTGCCAGAGGGCTCGCCAGTTTATACACCTATTAAGGTGGTGTTCTGTGTGTATAATAAATATGATTTTTCTTTAAGGGACGTAATACGACGGTGTGTGGAACATTCAAACCAGCTCCAATCCTTGGTGTGCCGACTGCGGCTGGCTACATTAAGAGCTGGGTCTGGGAATAAATTCGTTTCGACATTGTGTAAGGCCACTGAGGACGCAGCGAGATGGTAAGATTTTTTAACAAAATAGCCAAACGTTGTTTTGCTATATACAGTTATAATATAGCTATATTAAAATAGGGGTTGGGGTGAAAGGAGGAGATTAAGAGTTACATTTAGTGCCAAATCATAAAATTAAAAAAAATATTGTTCATCTATTGGTTTAAAAATAGTTTCCACTTACCCTTTACCTAGAAATACCGACAAAAGTAATAAAAATCTCGGAGGAATTTTTACAAACACTGGTAGATCTTTCTAATTCAGGCCAAAATTTTGTATATTTTATATGAAACCAAAAATCTAAATGCTCTTCCTACCTATTTATATCTTTAAATTCCCCTAAAGAAAACAATCCCATTTGATTTTTGAAAAACAATATATTATTTCTAGGAAACATTTTTTTAGTTCAATAAAAATAACTATCTACAATAATAAAAAATAGGAGTTGATCGTAGAGGGGAGAAAATTAGGGGTTGTATGTATTTTTGTATGTCGTATCATAAAAATGAAAACAAAAAGTTTTGTCTATAAAATAAAAATTAGGGGTGTGCCCACCCTTAACATTTACGGAGATGAAAAATAGATATTGTCCGATTCTCAGACTTACTGAATATGCATAAAAAATTTCATACGAATCGGTCGAGCCGTTTTGCAGGAGTACGGGAACGAACATTGTGTCACGAGAATTTTATATATTAGATGTATGATTAGGAACTAATTACACGTAATCTTTATAGATAACGTGTAATTAGTTAATATCAATTATTGAGGTAGAGCATACAACGAACTAACTTTCTTAGTTAATTCTGTTATTTTTTTGATTAAAAAAAACTTTTACAGTTATTTCAAAATATCTTTATATATATAATTCTTCTGTGAGTGTGTATGTCACTGAACTTATCTCAAACGACTGGACCGATTTTGATGAAATTTTTTGTGTGTGTTCAAGGGGATCTGGGAATGGTTTATATTCACAAATCAGCCCGGCAGATGGCACTGCAGTCGGTACTTTCATACTTTGCTTAATATCCTAATCGCTTTAAATATCATGCAGGACAACGTCTGTGGGGTCCACTAGTTACATATAAATTGACGCTTAAAATAATGTTTAAAGAACTTTATTTCTCATTACAAAAATTATTTTTTTTTATTTACATGAGAAATTTAATATTAAGTATATATACGAACGAGATACACGTCGCCATCAGCTAGCCCAATTCTAGTCTAATGGGCCCATTCTGATGTGTGTCTTTAATGCCCTTTTGAACTGATCAATCACGCTAATGTTACGAAGCTTAGACGGCAACCGATTAAACAATAACAGCAAATAGTATTCTGTTATCTAATGTTTCATAGAACAATTGCGCAATAGTCTGGTCAAAGAAATAAACAAATCCAATTCCATCCAGAATCAGCCTACACACGTATGACTTCCTGTCGTATGATTATAAAGCGATACGAAACCGGCAAATTGCCATGTTAGGTGAAATGACGAAGTATATAAGGTATCACACAGATTCATTCATTTGAATACAATTTCAATTTACACACAGGGAAGCAATAAATAAAATCTATAAGCTGTGTACAACGGGCTTAAAATCGGTCCAAGCAACCCGTGATGAGCTAAAAAGAAAAGATGTATTGATATTTTAAACACGCATTCAACGTATTCATCGATTCTTTAACGGACGTTAAACGTTAAGTTGCGGCTTTTGACACCATTTCACCTCTTTGTTGGAGACATTTCCAAATTCTGCACTAGACGATTTGGATTGTGAGCGAAAGAGTGGTAAATTGAAGGGGAATTTAACTTAATTCTTAAAGAGTATAAGAAGTGTTAAAACTGCTAAACAGACATATGTTAGTACTTAACATCAGGTGGCATTGCGGTTACCCCCTTCTTCCGGTGACTCTCTAATAACTGCCGGCAGTCAATGTCCCAAATTTCTCTTGTCATTGCCAATCTAATCAGTTGTTCCATTGACTTGATCCCCGTCCACTCACGGATGATCCGTAGCCAAGACATTTTGCGCCTATCATTGCGTTTACCTGTAATTTTACCCATGATTATGGACGGCAACTGCTAGCTTTGGATTAACGGACCGTAAAGTAAACTATTCCCTTCGTTAATTTAGATACGAGATATTGTTTTTAAATACAGAAGAACTTCAGAAACCTATGATTACCAATTACAAATGATACTTTGTACATTGGTGTTTCAAAAATCAGTCCATGTATCTATTAGTTTCAATACATTGAACACTTCAAAACTTATAGACTTTTTCATTAATAGGTTTCAATGTCTTTTCAGGTTGTCGGATCTAATGTATGGTGTACGTTTGCAGCCACTATGGTCAAATCTTGTTACAAGTGACCCGAGACAGTCAAATAAAATCGCTGAGAGCATAATGTCAGATCTCTGTTCGGTGATCGCCTTGGGAGACACGAAGAACACTAATTTGTAAGTATTTGTTAAGGGAATCTATATAAATATCATTTACATTTACATATAATTTACCCTTCTGCAAGTCACAAAAAAATGCTTCAAATTCCATTTATTGCTATCAATCCCTTGAATGGACGGGAAAAACCGTTAATAAATTATTTTTTTATACTTTAAAATCGCCATTTTTTATTACACAATGTTTGTGGCTACATCATGTTTCCAATATATTTTTTTAACCAGTATAGGCATAGCAATTACTGTAGGAACTACACGCCAATGAAGTATTATGTAATGCTACCATTAAATCCCTGGAATAGTATAGGATTAAATTTGTGTATACATGTTAAAATTAAATTTCTCAAAAAAAATCTTTCCTATATCCAATTTCGATTAAGCAAGCTATGTTGTGCTGGTCTTTGATAAGGAGTCATTTGCTATAACCTTATATGGACTCAGACTGTAACGAATTATAATTTTTTTATATTTTTTGTTGATGAAGATTTTGTATGTTTAATAAAACACTATTTTGACCGGATTGAAGTTATGTATTATTATAAATTTACAACTATTTAACATAATTTTAAATTTATCCGACGTTTCGCGGTGGTCACGGTGACCACGCACGCTGTAAAGCACGCGAAACGTCGGATAAATTTAAAATTATGTTAAATAGTTGTAAATTTATAATAATACATAACTTCAATCCGGTCAAAATAGTGTTTTATTAAATGAATAAAAGTTATGTTAATCAAAGACAATACTATTTTGTATGTTTTTAATTGATAAATCGATAGACAGATATCACAATCTGTATGATTCCTTTCAATTATCACCTTTCGTTGAAGATCTGATATGTTTCGATCGCTTTAGAATAGTGTTTAGGAAATTCATAATTCCATAAAAACTTCACTTGACTATTCTTTCAGTTATTCATTCTTAGTTTAAAAATAAAACGCGGGCTTAGATTTATACATTTTTACACTCACTCCACCAACCACTCAGATTGCCTGGGTATAATGATTATTCTAATCACAACAAAAAAAATGTGGCGTTATCAAATTACGTATTAAATTGTCTAGTATCTATAAGAGAACTGTTCTTTTTCCTTTATCTAAACTCACGTGAGGAGTCTGCTTGTACGTGACACGATTTATGATATCATAAAACGAGTCGTTAAGTTTAAAGCTTATAAATAGAATGATTATAAATTTTCTCAAACAACATTTATTTTTAAAGAATTTACACTAATAATAATAATATATTACGAGAGTCTTAGACCTAAATACTTTGGGATTTTTGGCAATAGTTATGATGGGTATCGGGGATATATGTGTCTGTATAAACATTTTTGCCCGCATAATTAATACTTTTTTCTTTGTTTGGCATTTATTGTCTATACTATAATATTATAAAGAGGAAGCTTAGGCTCCGAAACCACTGGACCGATTTCAAAAATTCTTTCACCGTTGGCAAGCTACGCTATTCCCGTGTGACATAGGCTATGTTTCGTTTAAAAAAAATTAGGGATGCTTACTAAAACTTGAATAATCTAACCCAAGGTGTAAAAAAATAAACAAAAAACTTCCTTCAATCGTGTGCGCTGCGAAAACTATTAATGATAGAACAAAATGATGTATCACAATTTTTCAGGACACATCACTATCTATAAAAAATGTCGCGACAGCATGTCTCTATCTTTTATAGTTACGTCACAATTATTTTTATAAATTACCATCGCTAGAAAAGGCTCTTTATTCGTACCTAGGTATTGATCCTTATCAAAATAATTACCAACGTTTCACATAAACTACAATTTAATGGCATAACCACCAAAAAAGCATGGTGGATTGGTGTTCTCCTGCCGTTTCTCTTGAATAGTTTACTACTATGTAATATAACAAAAATCTTAGCCACAGCAACGCTTGGCCGAGTCTACTAGTTGTTAATATTTGTAAAGATTAAGTATTAACAAATCATTTTTATTTTCATATCTTATCTAAATTTGTTTTTAAGGCTATTTTTGTTGTTTCTAACATACCTTGTTATTTGTTGTTTGCATATCTTTATTGTTTTATTGTGTGGTAATTATATGTCGCCAAAGTAATTTTGAAGTAAATTGTTCATACAAAATAGATTGTGTTCACAGCTAAAAATATAACGCCTGCCAAAACTATGGACCAATTGAAAGAAAGTAGCAAATAAGTTATGCAACTAACTGCTTCATGCCAGGAAAAGATCACTTTGTATATTCTAAAAATGTATCGTGCGCAGGTGATAAAAATAGCTCATGTTGTCGTTAAACGGTGACGTCGTTCTATAATCTTTGAATCACATGATTGGTCCAGTACCTAACGGTCAAAGTTGAACTTTTGTTTATCGTAAATGCTTGCCTAAAAAATTTACAAGACACAGTAGTGCCTTTTAAATTTTTACTACCTGGAGCTGGTCTCAGAATCATGTATCTGTTTTGTGGTATTTTTTCTCGGCGGCTTCCTCGTGATGTTTTTCTTCACTTCAAAAAGTATTAAATTTATTATTGGAATTAGTGTAAATAAAATAATTTGACATCTTATTGATAAATAAGCGAAAATCAAGTCAAGTCAAGTTTTGTGTAAAATCATACAAAACATGTGTTGAATAAACTCTTTCGGGTTTCATGGAAGAGTCTATGACCTGGATACCTAACCTGGAACCTGATACCTAATGTTATTCTCATCAAAACCAGATAATATATGAAAGTAATGTATCTTACAGACCCTTTTGATTAATAAAAAGCTATAGTTAATATTGCTAGCTTTTTTTGTAAGCTTGCCAGTACGTTGCCGGCTTTTTAAGAATTGGTACTTTTGGGTTATAGTAATATAATACATATTTGTGGAAGTTAAAAAACGATATCGAAATTTATAACCATATATTTTTTTAAGACCATAAATATGACGTTATGACATGTGGAGTCCAGAATATTTCCCCTTGTCAACCCTTGTACAGTTGTACTCTTCAAAATCACTTTGATAAACTACATAAAATTGTCACAGAAGTGAATACTTTTATTATTGATCGTCATACAATTTTGTTTAATACTTTTATCGCCTTCGTGTTAACGCCTTGTCCAAATACAATATAATAAATGTTAATGCTTTAGATATTTTTTGACACTATGTATTGTATGTATTATCACTCCTTTGTTTGTTCTACCGTCCTATCGGGTTACGGAAAACAGTTAAAAGAACAATACAAACCTCCTTTAATAGTAATAAATAACAATTGAATTTTCCAATAAAAACTGTTTCTAGCTAGAAATATTGATGTCTTTTTTAGAAATAAAAAATTGTCACTTGGTCACTTTATATGCCTTCTGAAATTTGTGTTTCATAGCTGTAGTATGTGGTCCGATTTCTTTGGTCTGTTTTTTAAAAAAATGCCGTAACTTTTGACACAAATTTATGTAGGTAAGTTCACCAGGTCATCTAGTAAATAATATATTAGACTTCACCAAATTGTAATTTCCGAAGTGCACAATGACAATACGTGTACACAATAGTTTATGAGTTGTCTTGATTCATTCACAAATCCTGATAATGGCAATACAAACAATTAAAAAAATTACAGATCGGCAGGCAATTCGTGTCACCCAAGAACAAATAGATTTCAGTATATAGTGAAACACTTTTTTCAATAATTTAATATTATTTAAACAATTTTACGATTTTTGTAGCAAATCATAATGTCATCTGTCAAAAAATAAGTAAAGCTTCATCGTGTTTACGTAGTTTTAATCTCGAGCCATTAATTTTTGACAGTCTTAGTTTTAGTAGCATTGGGCGTCAGCCAATACGCGTTTACGATTAATGAGCGATCAGTAAAAAGAAAAACTTTTCTCTTTGGCCGGTTCGATAAGTACAGGGACGTGTGAATGAATGATTATTTATATTTGGTGCAGTATTTTTAGTTTCCGAATCGCCAACGCACTTCGATCACGTGAACGTACAACGACAAATGATCAGCCTCCTGTGCCTGACGCACGCCGTCGACTTTTTAACCTAATGCAAGCCGGTTTCCTCACGATGTTTTCCTTCACCGTTCGAGCTAATGTTAAATAATCACATAGACGGAAAGTGCATAAGTTCACAGCCGGGGATCGAACCTACGACCTCAGGAATGAGAGGCGCACACTGAAGCCCAAGTCACGAGTATATCAATTTAAAAAAAAAACGGACTCTCACCAGAAACCTGGGAAGATGTAATGAAAGAGATAGCGGGGAAAAATAAGAAAATAGTAGCGAAGATGAGAGACAAGTGAAAGAATTTGGAGGAGAGTTTAACTCTGCCGGAGGTCGTGTACTAATATCAAATATTTATTTATGCTTTATTACCTTATTCACAAACATACACATAACAAAAATACAAAAAAAAAGGGGCGTGTACACACGTAAGAAGTGAAACTTCGTTATGATCTTATTTTTCGAAAAATTATCTACTATATGCAACTTTACAGAAATTCATTAAATTAGATAAAGTTTAACAAAAGGCTTTTATTATCATAGACATGAATACAAATATTTCATTTTACCTTATTACTACGAAGATTATTATAGAATTTCATTAATTGTAATAGAATTATTACTATCATTGAAAAACGTGACGATTTGCTACATAATTTCTCCCATACGTCGATAAAGAAGTTTCATTCCAATGCCGATAAAGAAGTTTGACTTCAAAAAGCAACATGGCGCGTAACCGAAAAATGTGACGCGTAACGAAAAAATGTTACACTAAATTTTTTTCCAACCTCGATAAAGAAGTTTCACTTCAAAAAAATGTTACAAAAGTTATAAGGCAACGGGCGGCCTTATCGCTAACAAGCGATTTCTTCCAGGCAACCCTAATGTGGAACAATGAAAAAGAAACACCTACAGAGGGTAGAGTACAAGAATTGCAAATATTAACATAAACTTAATTTAATTCTTATAGTACACGAATATAGGCTATTTTTATTTTTAGTTGATATATTTGCGTACATGTACGTTCACGTGATCGAGCTGCGTTGACGATTCTGTTGTGCAATCAATGTACGAATACTGTGTGTTAATGAAATTATACCTACTTGGGCAGTAATAAGGAGTGTTCTTTTTAAATGAGGCTAATCATAGTATTTAGTTTGTGGTTCCTTTGTCGTATACGCCATAGACTTCATACATCTTCTGCTTATAGAACCATCTCTTTGCGAAGGTTGGCGATCATGATGGCTAGTTTAATTTTGGATGCCGCGCTTCTAAACAATGACCTGGTGCTTTGACTAAAGCATTATCTTAAGTTGTTTAACCACATAAATATATAACATAATTAGATATACGGTATCGAAACATTTTCTAGGACAGTAATATTTTGCATCTGAATAGACAAAATTATTATTAAATAAACCATGTTAAATTTGCAAAATTTTAAATGAATACTGACTTGTTTAAGGCCAAAAGGCCAAGTCTTAAATGATAACGTACGTACTTTAATATAAAACAAATACGATTACTTCCTGTTTTGATGATTGTGCCAATAAAATGATAGTGATATCGACGCATCAATGAGTATGACGAGAGCCATTGAATGATTTGTATAACGCTAAGATAAGGTTTATATAACAGGTATATTATGACCATCAGCTGATGCTTCGCGATAATGCATGGAATTATTTTTATAATGTCATGATTAAAATACATTAATCATAATCATCATATGAAACATATCAGAATTTTCGAAGTCTAATTCTGTCAAACTTTCGCGTTTATAATATGATTATTATTGTTTCGATGAAAATTTTGTTCCAGACCTATTGCCTTAATAAATAAATGAGAACCGGAGAGAGCAATAAAATGATGTTTTTTTCAGTTTCATCAGCACCTTACTAACGCACGTGCTGACACATCATCTCGGTTGGGTGACTACAGTGAGCCCTTACGATGCTGTCGATCCCACAAAACTTCCCAAAGGGGATCCCAAAAGACCGTATAACGCATTATGGGCACAATTAGGAGACCTCTGTGGAAGCATTGGCTTTCCCCCTCGAACTGCAAGGACTATTGTGGCTGGTTCTACAAATACACCATTTATCAACAGACTCTTAAGTGTTCTTACCTATTTCGTGAGGTGCGGTGATGTGAAACGAAACGATTTTCTATATCAAGACTGTGCGCAAAGTTGTAAAGTTACGTTAGTTGACTCTCGGACTTTTGAAACCGAGGTTTCAAGTAAAGTGCGTTGTGTGAATGATAATAATGAAAACTTAGCAGTGAATACGTCAAGCGATAGTCGGTTGGGTGTGGCAGATGGTCTTAAAAAATCTACAACACTCACTAATTTAAGTGACAAGCTCTCTAACCCAGAAACCAGTTCAAAGAGTGAGGCGGGCCAGATTCGAAGAAATCCATCTATCATGATCTCTTTGGGAGGCTCGACAGATTCCAGTCAAAAATCTTCGTTAACAGAAGAAAGTGAACTCGAGAAGAAAGTAGTTTTTGTTCTGGGAGACGATGAAAAATTAGTAGGCTTGAAGAATAAATCGGTTGGCGGGAAGAGTGTAAAGAGATCGTCCAAAGTGCACAACGAACCAGTCAACGTAGACCTTCCAGAAAAACCGAATTGTGATAAAAGTTGCGAGAAGAAGCCAGAAGACAGTTCATCCAAGTGCTGCAGCCTAACACTTGAACATTCCAAACCCATTAAACATTCCGGTTTTAAGTTTGAGTTCGATAAGTATCCTCAAATAGTGACCAACTACATGAAGAGCAAGAACTTGGAGATTTTAGATAGACATTATATAGGCAAGCCGGGAAATTTGAAGTTGGACAATTTCCAGTTCGACCCCACTATAATCCCGCCTATACAGGAAGAGAGATGTGAGACTTGCTACAAGTGCCAGATGATGGAATCTCTACTGCAGACACCGACTAACGCCTCTGAAATGGAGTACATGAATGATATGCCCCGACAAGAGCCTCAATACGCGAAGGAAACGGTCACACAGGAGAGTCAGCGAGAGATTTCCCCGAAAACATTTGTTCGGAAAAGAAAAGAAAACACTGTCATTATAAACGTAAAGAAAAACGAAGATTCACAGATAGAATCAAGTAGTGTTGAAAACGTGGGCTTAACAACATTGCCAAACACAAAGGAATCTTCGCAAAGCAAACTGCAGCCCAGAGTGATGTCGGCAACGAAAGTTTCACGTGCAAAGAAAGAAAGAGTGGATGTGAGACAAGTGATAGAGTTCCCACTTCCTGCCATAAATTTAGTGAATAAACTGAACACTGGCTTTGATGTCTCCCTTCTAGGTGGAGTCACAGATCATTATGTACCTGATTTAGTTTTACAAGGTGAGTTGTGTTTAAAAATTTAATTTCTGTAAGCTGTTTTTTTAATATTTCGATGTTTAGTGGCGCTACCATTGGTCTGCTCTGAGATTATTGTATCTGTTTCAAGATTATTTTTAATAGGCAAGTAGATGATCAGCGTTGAGTCCCTAATACACTGTCACCTTTTTGGCCGTGAGGCACGTCGGTTTCCCCACGTTGTTTTCCCACGCTCGCACATATTGAGTCTTTTTATGCAAAAGCCTAGCCGGCCAACAATGCTCTAAATTAATGACGGTAAGGTGTAATGATTGCAGCTCCTTACAAACGTTGTGTAAAACAAAAAACTTGGCGATTAAAAAGAGTGGCTGAGAGTTTATTGCCAGTTCTTCTCTTCCGTTCTACGCCCCTGATTTGAGAACTGGCAGTAATTGTAAAATTTGAAGTATATAATTTATATTTCTTTTTTGACGTCCATAAGTGTACATTGTGTTACCTACATGAATAAATGATTTTTTACTTTTGACTTAAGAATATATCAAATTTAATATAAAAGGAATCCCTTGAATATATTAATTAAAAACTGTTCGCTTACTTTAATTATGAATGTAATTGATACTTTAGAAGAAATATTTCTAAATTATAATACAGCTGCTTAAAGCGATGGCATACATTTGTGCATATTCAGTAATTTTCCTTCCCTGTCATATTTATCGTGTCACTATCAGACATTGTTTGGCATATGCAAATTTTCAGTAGGTACTTATTTGCATTTGAAATTTATGTTATATGCAATTAGTATGTTTTAAATCATTAATTACATGTAGTCTGTAGAATTATATAATTAATAGATAAGGTTATTTGTCTAAATATTTTTTTTTACAATATTGATATTTGAAGTACTGTAAATCACGTTCCTTAATAGTAATACATATAACGAATGTCGATATCTAGTATAGATATTATAGACATATTTTTGATTGTGTTGATATTTATTTTTGTTTTAAGACCTTGTTGTAAGTCAAGAGAGAGAGAATGTTTGTAAGTCAAGTACTTTCAATTTCCAATAATTCTAGAGAACTACCTGTTATTGGTTGGTGGACTGAAAGCTGTCAACGAACTTGAAATATCAACAATGGAGACGCAAGAATGTCTGCCTTCTTGGTACCTTCAAACAATATAGTAAAAATCAAATGTAAAGCATTTATTACTTTTTATTTTTCAGGGACTCTAGCGAATCCCAAAGTCTGGGAAGCTGAATTGCGGAGGGACCTAGACCTGACTTTGTACCTGAATAAGACTTTGGACTCACCAATGCAAGCGGTAGCCATAGTCGGTGATACTAACAATTGGTATGTAATATTTTATTAGTAGTTATTAGTTTAAGTGTAGAGGGCCTCATTGCTAAGCCCCATTATTCCTGTTGTGCAACTTGAAAAATAGTGGTTTTATCTAAATATGTATATTTTTGTGTTTTATATTCTTTAAGCAGCCGTAAACATTTCTATAGATAAGGAACCAACTGCTGGTTTCATTAATCCATCTTTGTGATGTAAGACGCATTTGTCATTTTGTTTTTTCCGGCAACGCACTTGCGAACCTTCTGTCAATGTGAGTGTCCATGGGTATATCTATTAAGTGAGCTGACAGGTGAGCCTTCTGCCTGTTTGCCTACTATTACATAAAACAAATTTACAAATGTAAAAAAAAAAAACCACCAGCGCTATAATCCCTTAGCCTTAGATTTGTGTGTATGTTTGAATTTTTTAATAATCAAGTGGTGATCCGCCTTCTTGGATGAGAATTTTTCATGTCAAATTTTGAGTCTTAAGTTTTCTTCACGATGTTTTCCTTCGCCGTACGAGCGAGGGTTAATTGCGCTCATAGAAAGTACATTGCTGCACAGCTAGTGTTTAAACTTACGACCTCATTACTCACTTGCCATTAGGCAAAACCGGCCTTTGAGATACATAGCCTCTCATTAAATTTTTTTTTTCAGGGAAGTGCGTATATTAGGTAGGGATTGTGGCTGCGGGGGTTTATCACCACTGGTGGGCGGAATGTTAGATGCGTTACCCGCAATGCGTATGGCGAGGGTACCCGCACATCAGGTAATTTAAAATAGCTAATTTTCAGTTACAAAAATTAATAGAATAATTATATAACTATTTATAAATTATCTGTACACACAATTATATCTTAACACTGCATTTTCTGAAATATAAAAAAAAACTTTTGACATTAGGAAGAATATTAAATGTATTACCATTATTTCGGAATTGTAAAGATTGAAATTTCCTTAATAATAAATCGTTAATATCAGGGCCTTGAACGTACGTCCTTACTGACTATTGTACTAGCCAAGGCTGTTTTGCATTTTGCTCACTGATGCTATCTTTGTTTTATAAGCGACTACCTTTTTTTTTTTATTTATGTTACAGAGTAATACAATCTAAACTACAGTTGTTTGTATAATGTAACAATGCCATAATAATTTTTCACCCTAAATCTTGGTAGATAGGCCCCGCGAGTATAGCCAGTGGCTCTTCAGCATCATAAGCATAGCATAGCATTTTATTTAACATTAATAGTATTGAATTTATTAACATTGATATATTCTTTTGTTACACGTGAGAGTTAATATCGCTCTTACAACTTAATTATAATATTGATATATTTTTAACAATCTTCCAACTTCCCGTAACTTTGTTTATCATGCTCTTAATGAGGTTTAAGTTTCTATTGTATTTTATTTTGTGGTTGCTTGTTTAATTTTTTACTTTGATAGCTTGCTTATGTTCTAATGTAATTGATGTGTCATATTTCCTTGTATAATTTTATGCATATGTCGTGGCCATATCCTAGATTTGCTCATTTCATGAAATGCTCGAGAATTTCATGAAATGGTCGTATTTCATGATGTGGGCAACTTAATTTGACCAGACCATTAAATCGTCAACATTTCACGATTTTTTCATCCACATTTGGCCGGATCGTATAAATAGGGTGTCCATAAAATATTTAATAAAAATCCAGAATATGTTAAGAACTTGTTTATTGTTATTTAAGTCCGACTGATACAAACAAAATGAATTAAATTTTTGTAACAAAATTAAACATCAAACACGTCATGATACACAATTATTTTTAGAAAACAAACAAATATTTAGAAATAAGTAGGTACTTTGGTACATAGTTACAAAAAGTAATATAATAATTCACATGGAATGCACAATAAATGAATAAAAATTTGAAAAGTCAGTGTTACAACCTTTCAGTCATTTGTTGGCGCATGACATGCGCATCTCTTTGTACGGCATTGGTTTTTTGCTGGCTTACAAAAGCATTTTTTAAAGCCTTGACCTCCAAACAAAGATTGGAAATTTACAGCTTCCGTCAATGATATTGACAATTCTGATATAACTTCGCAATAATCTTTAGACGACACCTGTAGGTCTTGCCGAGAAAACCAATTTTTAATTGTTCCAGAACCCGTTCCGATTTTGTATACTCCGTTCCTAAAATCAACTATCTTTCCAGCAATATTTTTGGTGTCAAGAGGTCCACGGTAAATTTTCGGTACATTCAAAAACACAGAATTTACAATTTCTAACAAAGGAAGTTTTTTGGCGGTGTTATCGACCATTTTCTCTGCAGCACGTTTAACACCGCTATGAGCTTGATCTCTTTCATTAACTATCAACTGTTCCTTTTGGCAAAGAAAACATTGAACTTGAGATCCAAAACCTTCTTCTCCACCAGCAACACCACAAATAGCATGCACAGGTTTGGAACACAAACTACAGAAATGAGCTCCTGTTGTGTCCTTGCCACAGACGAGACACACTGGACCATCAGCTGACTCTAATTCCATATTATCTGTCTCCATTACTTCAATGTTAGTAAAAGCCTCATCAGCAACTGATCCATTTACTATTGCGTCATCTGACGGCATGACATTAATGTTTTCTGCTGTAAAATCATTCTGATTTATTTGGTCCAATTCTTCCTCCGTCCTGATTGATGTCATAATACTTTCAGGAATATTACAACCTTTCAATATAGTTTTCGGCTCAGAGCCAAAAAATGCACGGTAAGGGGATCTGCCAATTATGCGGTGGTAAGAAGAGTTTTTATAGAATTGAACAAAAAAACAACCAATGGACCATTTAGTAGACTTATTATCTTGCATCCAACACCGCAACATATTTTCTACGTCTTGGTTGGATCTTTCCACGCTGCCCTGTGTTTGAGGACGTCGAGGACTACCGTGAATAATTTTGCATTCAGGCCACATCGACACCAATTCTTCTATGACATGCGCGGTGAACTCTCTTCCATTATCACTCTGTAATATAAACGGAGCGCCAAATTCCAAGAATATTTTTAAAAGTTCCAAGGCTACTTCTGCAGCTCTTTTCGACTTTAGAGGTCTGAGGTGTAAAAAATTTGTGGCATGATCTTGGTAATTCATAAGCCATTTAAATTCTCCATCCGCGGCAGACTGTAAATCTATTAAATCCACCTGCCCTCGTGTGTTAAAATCTTTAGAAATTATCGGCTGAGTTACTATACCTTTCCTTGGCACTGCACGTTTCTTCTGACAAACAGAGCACAGGTCAACGAATAGCTCGATGGGTTTCTTCGGAATATAAAGCCTATTTTTAATGTGTTGAATCATTTTTAAGTTTTATGTACTTCCTTTAATATTTCAAAATACTTCTCCATCGGAATTATGCGAATCGTATCATCGTCGACGCATTTTTTCTTGAATATAAGATATTCCTCATTCGCAGTTTCCAAAATATCATATTTTGATAACCAGTAATAGTCCATGGACTTCTTTTGCGTAGTCACCCTACTCTCCTTAATTTGTTTCATAACCTAAAAAAGGAAAAAAAAAACATTAACTTTAATAGGTCATAATTCACAAACTTACATAATATCAATTAATTCACAATACGTTAGCTGGCATAGAGTATTTTGATAAAATAAGTGAAAATTTATGTAATTTAAGAGTAAAATACTAACCTGTGAAATGCGATCCAAACTCCACGGTTTTTTTACATTTTGCTCAGTTTTTGCGTGACTTGCATAGTACTCGAGAACCTTTTCGTCGTAAACTCTTTTACTATCACATTCTTCGTCATTTATTAACGAATTATTCACTTTTTCACTGCGAGAAACAACATTATCGACAGCGGCCACCATCTTCACACATAAACAAAGCGTTTGCAGCGCCTCTACCGGTAATTAATGTAACTACTTTACGATATGATCAAATAATTGACCATTTCATGAAGAAGCCGCGCGTTTAGTTGCCCATATCGAGAAACGATTTCTTATCATTGATCTGCCCAAACCACATCACGAATTGGCCAATAGACAATGAAACATTTCATGAAATGTAACCATTTCATGAAATTCTCGAACATTTCATGAATTGAGCTAATCTACGATATGGCCACGACACATACACGTTGTTTTAAAACTTATAAATAAATAAAAATAGCGTGAAATATTTTTATTATTTCCGTACAATTATGTTTTGTTTTTCCAGTGTCTCCTCTTCCTTGAGAGCAAACTTCGGGAATTCTGTGTTTTGTCCAAAACCCTCGCAGATATGCTGATGTCGACCGACTTTTGTGACATCATTACGCTCACCAGATCACTCAACATTGATGTTAATGATGTGCCGTTATTGTTGGCTGTGGCGAGTACGCATACACCACAAGTGGCCACGCGATATGGAATCACGTATAGGTAGTTGGCTGGCTTAAAATTGAATGAGATATGTTCTATATTGCCTGACAGACGTAAACTTATGCGTTAATACTTTTTGTGTGTCTATGACATCACAATTAAGAAAATTAACTTGAAACTAGTTTCTAGAGCTGTCAATTTTTTTGACACATTTGACAGATTGAACTGAGATTTGAATGAGGCCATAGGTTGAGATGCCTCCACTTAGTGGATTAAGTCCTGGGTTCGATTACCAGCAGATTTCGGATTACGCTCAAAATTATTAATGAAACGGACGTGTAATGTGTGCCCCATGCCCCATTGGTTTTTGGGTAGATGATTTTTTCACATTAGAGGCTTCAGAAATCGTAGCACAAAATCACAATTTGTATATAATGAAAGCATTTTCTCTTTAGTATTAAGATTATGTAATCTGTGATTTCTTCTGCATAATGAGATATTTTTTATCTGTGGTAATACTGGTCATAGTATAAAAATGACGTATGTGCAATATTGGTGAACAATACTCAAAATTTTGGTGCTGTATTTATCGTGAACAAATTATTTATATAAAAGATATTCTATTAATTTTCTGTATCTGGGTTGCACAGAAATGTTTAAATATATATCGATCTATCTAAAATTATTTGATAATATTTCAATTTGGTTTATATGTAGTATTTATAGAGAGATTTCTCGTTCTAGAAAAAAAATCTTAATAGATACATAAATCTATCAATTATAGACAATTTGAAATAAAACATTTTAAATATTTTGTCTGTACTAAATTTTCAACTATAGATTTTTAACATAGAATGGAACTGAAAGTGACGTAAACTAAAACGAGATGGCGCTTACTTGATTTTCGATTAGATATAAAATATTGTCTATAGTCACATAGTTATATATTTAAAGTCCTAACTTATTTAACCAGTTAATAAGGTTCAAATACAAATTTTGACTTGATGTGTTAGACTTTCAGTTCCATCAATATGCTTCCCGGCAAATAAGTTGGCAAGATTCAGCGCATTAGCCTTTTCTGTATTTAATTTACGATAACTAATCTTCATATTTAATAAGTATTTTTTTTAATTTTCATTACAAAGCTTTGGTCATAAGTCAAAATCCAAAATATTCTTTGGCTCAACTTCTATAGACTATGTATTGTACTCATCTATGGCCGCCATGTTTGACAGTTGACATTACGTTAGTAAACTTTAATTTTCTTCCCAAAATAAGATTAGATTTCGATAAAATACGTAATTATCTAGTTTTTAATTATTAAATATCAGTTTCATAAAGATCTACGCAAAATCTTGCCAAGTTACGTGCCGAGACAATACGGTCGCCGTCTTTCAACTTCTCTTTCCCGATTTCTTCTCTCACAAAAATCTTTAAGATATGTGTACTATTACAAATGTTTAAGCTAGTCTAGTAAATCACCGTCTATTCACAAAAACCCTAAATGAAAAAATATGTGATGTAATAATTTTTATACTTAGTTATTGAATAAATTATTTTTCTTATTAAAATTTTGTTTATTTTCGTCGACGTCGTATACTCATAGGAAATAAAATGGTAAGTGTTGTTACTCGCTGACACGATTCTTGCATTCTTCTTAGCTATGATTGGTTGTATATTGTCTTTTCAGTGTCTGTCCAGTGTACTATAACAGTGATATTATTCTAAAATTAAAAAAAGGGCCAACTTCACTGGCGCTGGAAATATTTAAAGTACTTGCATCATAGTCATTTAAATTGCGATCAATAAATCACGTAGAGACCACGGATGTCATAGCCAAAAATCATACCTCCTCTTTGATATATATATATATATATATATCTTTGATATCACGGCACTGAGCAAGGAAATGATTCTAATGTGTATCAAGAAACATATATACGTAGTTGGTCCCAAAGTTCTGTCACTGGCACATTATTTTTAAATTACGAACATGATTTTATAAAAAAATTATTGCATTCTATTTTTGATTGTTTGACTATTGTTTTAAAACAAAAAACAATCACTTTCCGTAAATTTTCAAGATGGAGTGGACATTGAAAGAAAACCGAATAGCTGTTATTGCGTTGCACCGCTGTGGGCACTCGGCGAGTACCATTTTCAAGTTGCTCAAAAATTTAAATATAACGCTTAGGTTTGTGTACCGTACTATTGATAGGTACAATGAAGTCTCCAGTGTTGAGGACAAGAAAAGAACTGGCCGGCCACGCTCCGCAAGGACACCAGCAGTGATCAAAGCTATCAAGGCGCGGATAGCAAGAAATCCTGTCCGAAAACAGAAGTTGATGGCTTTGCAGATGGGTGTCAGTAGGAAAACAGTAAAAAAGGTTTTAAATGAAGATCTTGGTCTACGGGCATACAAAAGAAAGAGTGGGCACCTACTTAATGCTCGTCTAAAAGCAATAAGGCTTAAGAGATCGCGGGGTTTGTTAAAGCGGTACGCGAAAAACCGACACCGTGATATCCTCTTTACGGACGAAAAATTTTTCGATATTGAAGAGAAGTACAATAAACAGAATGATAGAGTGTACGCTAGGAGTTCTGAAGAAGCTGGAAATAAAGTTCCGAGGGTGCAACATGGACATCATCCATCATCAGTAATGGTCTGGTTGGGAGTGTCCTATTACGGGCCAACTGAGGTTCATTTTTGCGAAAAGGGGGTCAAAACCAGTGCAAAAGTGTATCAAGACACGGTTTTGGACCAGCTTGTCAAAAACCTGCCCAGCACGCTATTTTCGGGACATCACTTTGTGTTCCAACAGGACTCTGCGCCTGCACACAAAGCCAAGACCACTCCAACCTGGTTTGAGCGTCAAAACATCGACTTAATTAGACATGAGGATTGGCCTTCCTCCAGTCCAGACCTTAATCCTTTGGACTATAAAATTTGGCAGGTCTTAGAGAGGAAGGTCTGTGATAAACCCCATAAAAATTTGGAGTGTCTGAAGTCATCTTTAAAGAAAGCAGTCACTGAAATCGACATGAATATGGTGCGTGCTGCGATAGACGACTGGCCGCGGCGCTTAAGGGCCTGTATTAAAAATAAGGGAGGTCATTTCGAATAATTTTATGCTATTTCTATTTCTTAATTTATGTACTATTAATTGATATATCACTCATTAAAAACTGATTTGTACTTTAGTTTTTATCATTATTTCTATTTATGACAGAACTTTGGGACCGACTACGTATAGCACTTCCCCCGGCCCTGACAACATGCACTCTTACATTAAGGGCCATATCGATTTCCTCATTATTCTCATCCTACATATGTTAAATTTCCGTTTCCAAAACATACCCAACACGTTCTGGAATAGACCAAGGTTCGAACCTTGGACCGGTGCTATTTCTTATATTAATTAATGACTTACCCAACGCAATTTAGTCATGTGAAATACTATTATTTGCAGATTATATGAAAATGTTTCGAACTATCAATAAGCAATGTTAGTATATTTCTTCAGTCAGACACAGAGTATGCTTTGAGTGTAAAAAATTAACTCCTATTTAAAATTTAAAAGTGTCATTGGGTTTATTTTTCTAGCTCCCATAAAAACATCACATATACCTACTTCCAAAGTATTGGAAAATGGCGGGACTTAGCGTTTGATTTTCAAATCTGTAATATCTTCGAATATATTCATTTAAATCATATGCTGTTAAGGGCCATATAGATCAATCAACAATGTATTTAAGGTATTTTATTGGATAAGGATTAATGCTGTATTGGTTAAAATCGCTTCGAAAATTAGTCATTATTTGTCGTAAACAGTAAATGACAAATAATGTTATTGTGGGATATCCATAAGAGATAGACATATACCATCGCGGAGTTTTCTGTAGATCTTTTTAATGTGTACTATACTTAGGGCTAATTTCACCAAACTCAGATAAGTTTTATTCCAAGGAATTAACCCTGGAATAGCAAATTTTACATTTCACCAACTACTTAACCTGAGAATAAAACGTTATTCCAAGGATAAGATTTATACGCCCAATTTTGAACGAATACGGAGATATTCCTTGGTTAAAAATGGCCGCCATGTCATGTCAGCTGTCAGGATTCATAGAACACAGACATTTTGTTTGATCCCGAGTTTGTTGTGGTTGTTCCCTCAGAGTTGTTCCTGTTTTCTTTCCTTGATCTAATTATCACAACTATAGATAATGCAACGTTTAAGAAGAATTATTTACGAAAGTGACAGTGATGATGATAGCGAAAACGAAAACTATGCTGTAAGGCGTCCAAGATGGATAAAAGAAAGAAATGATCATTTCAACAACTACGACGATGAAGACTTCAGGATAAGATTTCGGTTATCCAAGGTCGCAACATATAATTTATTGGTGAAAATTGAAAACCGTTTAGAATTCATATCTGAGGGGCAAGTTTCTGTAAAATAAACAAATATTTGATAGGTTCCTAACCTAACTATCTATTTTTAAGGTATTACTATGGATTTATCTGTGTTTATGTAGCTAATTAAGCCTTTTTTTTGTTTACAGGAATCAATCAGTTTCTCCAGTCAACCAGTTTTTAGCCACCTTAAGATTTTATGCCTCAAATAATACACAACTGACGATAGGTGATTTCAGTGGGCTCAGCGTACCCACAGCGCACAGGATAATACATAGAGTTAGTGCTGCCATAGCATCACTTCACCATGAATACTTACATAAAATTTCCAAACACGCAACAGGAGATTCGACAAAATCAACAGGAATTTTATCGTTTAGCACGATTTCCTAGAGTGATTGGAGCAATGGACTGCACACATATTCGTATTTCTTCACCCGGAGGCGAACAGGCAGAACTGTTTAGAAACCGTAAAGGTTACTTTTCTATTAATGTCCAGACCATATGCAATGCAAATTTGGAGATTATAGACATTGTTACAAGATGGCCTGGATCAGCACATGACAGCCTTATTTTCAACAATTGTTGCCGTAAAGCAAAATTTGAAGCTGGTGAATATGGTGAAGGAATTTTGCTTGTTGATGGTG